ACATTTCTGTTGAGAGTCCAACTGGGCACATCTTATTCTTTTTACCGGTCTTTGCTCTCAACGTCCAACCTGAATTTTTTCGCCTTCGTGCTATTACCGCAATCTGGTCATCCTGGTCGCGATTTCCTACTTTTCCAGATGTACTTCTACGTACTCGTATCTGTGCAGTGCCAAAATAAACAGTCTTCCTCCATCACCGCGAAGATCTTATCCACTAGTCAGATATCTTCGCCTTGTCTGCTGGGACGTTTTCATGGCGCGTTTTGTACAGAAAGGTTGACATATACCCTTTCCTCTGTCGATATCGTGCTGATTTATGCCATCCCCAACAGAAGCCGGACGAAGAACCAGACGCTTACAAGAAAGAAGTCATTCACGACGGACGAGCCCTTTTGGATGTAAGTCGTTCACTCTCGTGCACTCTCTCCTCAATACGATTGTATCTGGCGCATCTGCCGTTCCCCGAGCCAGGCTGCGGGGTCAGGCGCATACAAGTGCCTGACGGGGAAGGTGGTATGCGGTACAAGTACATCACCTGCCGCGTGGATCCCAAGAAGTGACACGATATAACCTACAAGGACTCGCCTTTGGTCGTCTGCCGGCCCTCCAAGGCCTCATTCTGTGTTCATGGAGTTACGAAGGCGAGGCTAGGTGCCATTCAATGTATTGACAGTAGCAAGTCAGGAAATACAATATTTGCGCAGTCTTGTTCTTCGTTCGCCTCTGAAAATAGGCACGTGTCTCTTCGCGTTCTTACTCTCGATAACGCTGTATACAATTGACCGTGAGCAAAAGGATCGTACTACATAGACGTATCAATTAGACAATGACCAACGTTATGACGTGAGAGCCGGGGACTACAACATGTCGACTTGCAAAGATAGTACTAGTGTAGGCTTGACATGATTCCACTTGAAGACATCAGGTAAGTCCATAATAATCAAGTACTGTCACCGTCGACGACGTGCACGACTAGCCTAGCTACTCTGAGTCATCAGGAGGCGCAATTTCATCACGGATCTTGCCCTCTAGAATTCATAAAGATCGAGAGGTATATCATATTAATACTGGACAGTATTCAACCAAACCTTTCGACGATGTCATAAAAAGAAAACAAAAATATCATGAAAAATAGATAGCGTGTAGCATCATAATAACGGTCACGTAGGTGGCCATGTTCCGGTGTAAGGGCGTTCTCCCCACTTCTCCCAAGCATGTTGACCAATGCGGCGCACAGTGCCCTGTAGCTCCGCTTTCAAAGCTGACCATCCTTCGTGTCTTACAATATCGTACGCGCTCGAAAGCGACCACATAAATGAGGGGTAGGGCGGCGAGAATTGACGGGAGTGTCCAGGTAAGGGATTCAACTCTGGGTATAGAGGATCGTAATAGACGGTATAAAACAGTCGGCGAGCTTGGACATGTACCAATCTATGCAGATAGTCAGCAGGTCAGTGAGAAAACTTTCATACAAAATGAAGAAATCTACCGCCACATCGCAAGGACGAAAATTATTTGGGCTACAACTCCAAGCAAAACCATGCCACGATGGAAAGAACTGTTGTCGCCAATGATGGCCGGCTAGTCGGAAGAACCAATCAGATGCGAACACACCAATACATATAAACTTTGTCTTACCAAAAGTCCACTTCGGCTCACGGCGCCCTTCGTATGTTTGTGCATCAGGTCACGCTCTTTCACAGATTCAACACGAAGGTTCTGAGCTAACTGATTCCGAGCATGCCGCGCTGCCCTCGAAACTTTTTCTAGCTCTTCAAGGTGGCTTGTATTCAAAGCGAGATCATCAGCAGACCTATTGCAGTTCCTATCAGTCAGCATTTGTCTTGAACCGTACGCTGGAGATATTACCTGTCCCCATCACTTAGCCCATCGGCCCACTCCTGAAGCGTTTGCCGCATCCGAGCCAGTGTTTTGGTGCGACCAACGGGCGGATCATCATGCAGGACTAACAGCTCTTCTTCAAATAGGGGTTCAATCACAGGGACGACTTCTTCCTCAATTTCTCTTCCCATCGCATCGACAATACGAATATTACTCTTGTGTTGGACACGAGGGGTGTGAGGAGTTCCAGCTGATGACAGTGAACGAACTACGTCTTTCGCATCCACATGCCCGTTCGCAATATCCTGTGCATCAGCCAATGTTGGAGGGTCATCAATCCTTTCCCGACCGAATGCATCCACAACCTTGACGGTGGGGGATTTTCTCAGCGAACGTGGCGATGGTATATTGGCACGAGATATGGGCGTTGTAGGACGTTCGGGAGTGACGGGCCTTGCTGGCACTGGATCATGTACGACATCAACGTGAGCAGAACCATTGGTCATTTTTGGAGGGTCGCTCTCCGCCTGTCGTGCGTAGCCATCAGGCAGAAAGTCTGGCGCAGATACGCGTCCAGAAGGTAAAGGTGATTTTTCAACTTCAGCAGTTGAAGCCTCTGATTCCGTGACGTCAAAGCGTACTTTGAGAATGCTCTTTCTTCTTCCGATAGAACCAAACTGGGATTGATCGGCAAAACCATTGTGTCCATTCTGAGTTGTGGGTTGATTTGGAGTGAGCATCCATGCGCCAGGGGGTGCCGGTGTGCGTAGAGGGAGAGAGTTAGCGCGCGACAGAGAAGGTATTGGTGTGAGTAGTCCATTGCCTGCTGGGACCTCCGTCTTCGAGCTCCGCTCAGGTTCAGAAATGGCTTGAGACAGAGGCGTCGATGACAACGTTGCAGTCGGAGCCAACTCGGATGAAGTAGGAGGCGGTGATATTTCCCTCAGGTGCTTGGGCGGTACGGGTGTAGCAGCCCACGCTCCAGGAGGCCTAGGGGTCTTCATCGCGGTATAGTTCGGATTGGCAGGGCCATCCTCATCGACTCGTACGGGTGTGACATCCGCCTCGCGTGTCTCTGCTTCATCTTCAGAAGATGAAGGAAGAACAGAAAGATTGGAAAGGTCATGAGGCGGAGATGGAGTGCGGAAGTCAAGAATGGAAGTGCTTGATGCAAGACGGCGCGGTGGAGTTGTGAGCGCGAAGGTGGGAATGACTTCAGAAGAAGATTCGTCCCGAGGAGCGGAATTGGTCATTGGCGGTGTTCCTGGAGGAGTGAAGGATGATGGCATCGCCTGCTCTTGGGACTGAGAGTTATCTAATGGAGAGTCTGGAGTAGGAGGTCGGAACGAGGTCGCTGAAGTTGAAGAAAGAGCTCTGTGAAGACGTGCTTCATCATTGGAAGAAACACCAGGTGTTTGAACGAGTGAGCGTAGCCTTGGTGGCGAGGATGGTGGAGACATCAGAACCTCTGTCTCTGGCTCGCTGAGAGGATCTTCTGGGAAAGAATTCGAAGGTCGCGTGTCTGGACTAGTCAATTGCGGAGCAAACTCTGACACGGATTCCTCGTCGCTCGCTGTATATTCTAAGATAAGAAGGTATATTGTCAAGCTAAGGGAAATACGGGTCTTACCTAAAACCATATCCTCATCCCCAAATGCACCGTGGATGCTAGTACGAGGGTGAATACTCCCCACTGACTCGGTAAACTCCGTCAGCCGCTTGCGATGACCTTTCTTGAACTTCTCCTCGTCGTTGGCTTTAGGAGTGGAAGAGGCAAAACTGCCGCTGTTGAAAAGACCATTCTTCTTAGATGGCGAGGGTACTGGAATTAAGCTCGACCGGTTGACGCCCGACGCTCGGTTGGATGCGAGCGAGCCTGGAGTCGGCGATGGCGAAGAGATGGTTGGCGTGTGGTGATGTGAGGAATCAGGCTCCTTGTTGCTGCGTCCGCCTCGTTTAGGCGAACTCTCCAGATCTAAAGGAGGAAGCTGATGACCCCGCGGAAAACCCCAGCCAAATCTTGAAGCGGCCGCAGGCTTAAGTGGTGTAGTACGGGGTGAAGCTTTGCCATTATTGGAAGGAGACAACGGATCTGCACCCTGAGGCGGGTGAACGGACAATGGTTCATCGAGCACCGAATCTATTTTGCCTTTGTGAGAATGCACCTTCACAGCCGTCAGTGAGCTCTTGCTTTGAGCCTCTGGAGTGAGGCGAGGTAAACTAGACGATGCACGCAAACTCCTCCCACTCTTGCTTTGGGAAAGATGGTCACTCGCAGATGTAACTTCATTTCCACTGCTGTCATGACTATGATGTCTTGTTGTGTTCCATTTGGGCTGTGGTGAGTTCCAATTTCGCTCACGTTCATGCGTCACCTTTCGTCCTTCTTCCACTTCTTCTGGATCTCGTAACGAGTCATGACTAGCTTGTGAACTGGCAGGTGAGCTGGCACCAGATAATCGAGAAATGGAACCTCGTCGTTGAAGGGATGCAAGCGTTGGTGTCGCATACGCCGTGACTGATGGAGGTCGACTGGGGTGAGTGTGGGAGTGATTCGAATGTGAGCTAAGACTTGAAGACGGTCGAGGTGGTGGGTGTCGTTTATTCCATTCTCGTTCACGCTCGAGGTAGCGGTCCCCGTCAAGCTCAGCCATCCGATCACGATCTGAAGGTCATTGAAGTGATGTGAAGTGAAAAGAAATAATCGCTTACGATCTGCCTGTGAGCTCACGGAACCTGACCTTGAGCTCCAATCATCATCAAAACTCCGAAGCGACGCAACACTACCCCTTCTATGCATAACCCTGCCGCTGAGAGGTGAAGTCGCTCCGTTCGAAAGGGATTTAACGTGAGAGGGCGACGTCCAAGGAATTTCTTGAGAGTGGCGTCGGTGGAACTCCAATGAGTGTTGGTGATGCAGCTCAGGGGTGACAGAACGTGATGGTGCTTTTGGACGGTTCCACTCGCGTTCGCGTTGGTGCATCCGATCTTCTTCACGAGAGTGGTGTTGTTCTTTGACTAGAATACCATGATAAGCTCGCCTCAAAAAATAATAGCAAGTGGTAATCTCACAATCAGCATCAGAAAGTGATGAGCTCGCCCTTGGCCCTGCGCAATAATGTAGGTGGATGACGTAAAGGCGAAAAGACATCACCTACCTGGCAATTCGAGACTGGCACGCCGAGACTGATCGTGATGTCGCAAACTTCCGCGTAATGAAATAGAGGAACGGGGCCGTAACAGAGTGGTTGACGGGTGACTGGTACTTGGCCCAGGTATCGGTGCTGGTACTAATGGAACAACAATAAGAAACGTTGCAGTTAGCCATTTTGAAAATGATTGCCTACAATCTTCGGATGTATCAAGATCTCCCATAACATGTTGCATATCCGAATCTTGATCCAGGAGATCTGATTGAATGGTCAGGGGAGTACAAACATTGCAAATGTTTGACCTCACTAGAGTGAGACGCTAGCTGGGAGGGCAATTGAAAGGTTCTTTGATATGAACTTGCACTTCTTGAAGGTGATAACTGAATGGAATCAAGTGGTCGTAACGAAGTCGTCGTCGAAATAACATTAACATTAGCATGTCCTTCCAAACGAGGTTCGTCTGCGAATAATGAACCTGTTTCGGAAGGTTGAGAAGTAACTGATACACTTCAATCAGGTGCACTCGTCACAATGATGTAGATGAACTGACCGTCATACACCGCTGTAGGTAAATTTTGATCGAGGAGCCGCGAGTGAGAAGACATTAGACGTGCACGAAGGGTATCAAACGTTGCTGCATGAGGAGACCGAAATGATGATTCGGATCCCTTGCTGGATTCTTTGATTCATATTGTGATGAGATGCCAAAGATGATGAAGTAAAGGGAATTGACCCACTTGGTTTATCAACCTCGTCATCACTGAGACTTTTTCTTTTATCCTTATGCTGTTCCCTTTCACGGTCGACAACAGGGGTAATGTCCATCTCACTGGTGTCAAAACTATTTCTGCGTGGTCTCGATTTCTGTGGTGTGTCCCCAGGCTCACGTCTGGCACGAGAGAACAAATCCTTCAGGCTGTCCCGAGTGATACTTGGAGTGGCAGGTGTAAAACGAGAGGACACAGAGCCAGCGCCATCTTCTGACAGTTGTGCGACGGGTCTTGTAGGAGGGGATTTTCCATTGGGCGAATCAGATGAACGTGCTAGCAAGGCGCGGAGGCGTGCTGCAGGTGTTTCAGAGGGTGTCGCAGACGAAGTAGATGGTCCAAATTCAGAATTTTGACCATAGCTATTTGCAAAAGAAGCGATGTTCCTGAGTGGCATACGAGGAGTAGGTTGATTGTCGTCTTCATCATCGACGACATTGAATTGTGATCGCGCGGAAGAAGGGACTGCGACTGGGGTAAAGTCCATATCACTATTACTGTCCTGAACACGAGGATTTGGGGTATAGCGGTTAAGCCTTAGACGAGGCTTTGACAGTTGATTTGATGAAGGTGTATCCATGATCGGCGACCTCGTCGGCCAAAGTACTGGCGCGTGAAGCTTTGAAGCGTGTTTCCAGCGTGTTCGACGCGCTATAATTGTGCTTAAGCTTGTGATAAATTAGGAAATAAATCCCTTGACAAACAAAACAAATTACGATAGACGTAAAGCACAAGGCGATGGTCTTACCTTACCACAGCTTCTCTTCTGGTTTCTCGGACCAGCAGCTTTGCAGACAGCGTCCTCACACAAGTTTCAGGATCTCGCCCCTTGGGCCCATCTGTACAATGGTTCGCAGGACATACATTGTGTGGGAGAACATGCCTTCACAAAATGCTACCTTTGCAAGCTCTTGAAGTGCGTACCGGCGGTTCGCATGCGCATTGCAGGAGGTCATCTTGACCAGGACGATATCTTCCCTATCACGCAACTTGGCCTGTCAAATCCTGGAGAACAAGACGCATATTTATATTTTCCGTGGTCTTTACAAAATGTTCGCTCGCAGAAACTGTGAACATCCCGGGCAATATCCAAAAGATACAATGCTCGGCCCAAGCTTTAGGTTAGACGCCGTGACGATATCAGGTGGTAGCTGACGCCGCCAACTTAATTTCGCTGGAGGTTTGCCAGAGGCAAACTGGAAAGACTTCCGTTATGCACTGGACTCGACGATATTTAGGCCTTTTCTCTACTGTCTTTTCCTTACGAAGCTTTCTTTTTTCCATATTTTTGGCTCATTCACTTCGTTCGAATCCAACTACTGATTGAAGAGGTCCCATAACCTAATAATGTGCAGCCAGTCTCGGTGACAGACTTGAACTGGTCACACTGCTTGTTACAGCGATGCAGACGGCGGCAGTCTAAGTCACTGATGAAAAGGTGAGTAGTATGCACAATTCTCCAGTTCTTTAAAGAGAAATTTTCAAAGTGGTTCTCGAAAAGTACTTATTGACATTGGCAGAACTAATCGTTACATCTTACACACCAGCCCATGCTACTAATTTATATCTTCTTGCGACGTGTCCTATCAGTTGTAGCAAAGCACCGCGTACTCCTGCAATACCATATCAAATTAGATCTTATCAACCTGTTGGCATCTGTACTCACCTTGACCTTCTTCTCTGTGGAATCGTAAGGAATGAAGCAACCATCACCGTACGACTCGGCCGCCTTCCCCGGGTGCACGGCTCCGTGGTAAGGAGCTTGGGCAATGTATTGAGGAGCACCTCCGGGCTCCCGGCCACCTTCGACAGGTCGAAGTCCATTGAGCGCTGCCAAGTTGAATTGACCAGAAACGTTAACCCAACGGACGGCTTGAGAGTTCCCAACAAGGATTTCGTATGTATCAAGCTGTTCCGACGAATTCAGCAGATGGTAACAGCCCAGTTTGGTTTGCACTTACGTGGATCTCTTCCTTCTTGTAGCCGATCACAGCTCCTTTTTTGAAGACAGAGCATGCCTTTCCGACCACTGGAGTAGACACCATTGAGTCAAAATTATGAATATCATCATTCGAGACGCACTGAGACCACCCTATAAGAATCAAAATGAGTGGCTGGCCAGTAAGCAAGGCTGTCGGACTTGCCTCATAGTAAGCACGGCAGATGTACAAAGGCGCGCCACGCTCAAAACCACCTTCGATGGCATTTGGTGGGATGTTCTTACCCTTAATGAGGACCCATGCTACTGGACCAGGGTAATTTCCGCTTCGGAAGGCCTGGGTACGTTGCTCCGCATCACGGAGCCAGTTGCCCTGCGACCAAACGTGCGCCCTTTTCTGCAGAAAATCAGAGTGTCAGATCTGTATCGATTTATGGTGAATACTACGTATACCTCCTCTTCACTCTTGTTGTGGTGATTGTAGGCAAAAACGCCAGCGGCAAGGGCACCGACACCGGCCAGGACGCCCCCTCCGATCTAATGTACAAGACACATGTGATGATGTGAGCAGTCTATACGAGGAAGAAAACATACCTCCAGCTCATGCTTCCTTTTGTCATCAATGTCAAACCAGTGCTGCTGACTCCCCTGATGAGTCGGTTGAATGCCGCCTTGAGGAGAATGGTAAGGCTGCTGTTGTTGCTGTTGTTGCTGCTGAGGAGGTGGTGCTGGTGGTTGGTTGCATGGTGAAGCACACGGGTCGGACTTGCAGTCCCCGGCCCATTGACCAGAATTCTCATGATGAGGACTGCGCTGGCAATCGCCACCTTCCAGGCGTCCCCATAGGGCAGGTGTCACGGGCGGAGTCCAGTCACTCTGGGCGGAGCTCGTTGGTCAGTCTGACAATGAGTAGCACTGACAGCGGGTTACCTGGGACCGGTGAGGCTGAATGATCTTGTACTGGACACCTGCAGGGGATGACTTTACTACTCGGAGTAAAAGGTGGATGGAAACGGACCTTCATAAAGGACCCTTGCACCGTCATTGTACTGAGTTCCAGGTTGCCAGTAATCAATCATGTTGTGCTATAGTCTACGCAAAGTTGACAATTGGAGTGGGGTTGTTTGTGTCGCCATCAGCGGACTTATATCCCTTTCACTTTGCGCCGATGATGATGCCGCATCTCCATATACCTGTTGGAGAAAGAGGGTCTTGACTGCTCCCGGATGTGAGCTCAAATTATGGGGTGGTCCTTTCAGGATCTGGCCTGATCACATCGGTGGAAAACTTCAAATATCGACGGGCGGACCTGATCAGCTGTCCATTATCTGATTTCCACGAGGCAATGATGACATGGACTAAGAGATATGATCGTGGCATGAGTTGGCCTCGAGGCATACTAGATAGTATGGAAGACACATGCATTTGTCGTGGAGTATCTCCTTCTGAACCTGGCGACTGATTGTCCAAATGATGGCATCGAGCGGGTGGGCCCTTCCGAATCACAGAAAACTTCAAGTCTCCAGTGACTCGTGAGGTAAGAGGACTGATTATCGGAGGGGTCCCGGTAGCATTCAAGGATATTAACCAGAGTGAAGATTTGACCTGTGGTTCGTTTATGGCACATTGTTACCAGCAACTTGTTTTCACCCCGGATCCAATGAACTTGAATGAAAGAATCTCAACTCTACTGAGCTGCTTCTTCCTGTCATTGCTGTGAACACGGTCGCCTGAAAAAAGTAATCGAGGAGTCGAATAACGCCGTCTTATCAGGTCTCCAGAGCCGAATGGAAGAGCACAGCCTTTTTAAAGACTCACGAATGCGAAGGATGAGCGCACGTTCAACATGGCATGTGTCTAAAGTTATATACGTAACTTCCACAGGCCCTGCTCAGGGTATCTATTTCAACTTGTACCACCACCATCGATAACGATCGATCTGTATTCACGATGAGCACAATCGAGCCAGTTTTCCGCATCATTCCCACTATTCAGAACTACGATTGGGGGAAGAAGGGAAAGGACTCCAAGGTTGCGGAGTTTGCTCCTGGGGCTGGAATACGTGGATTTACTCTGAATCAATCAGCTCCTTACGCAGAAGTAGGTGATCTAGAAGCACAGTCTGCAGCAGATCTGACAGATGGGCGTGCATGACCAGCTTTGGATGGGCACACATGTGAAGTCGCCGTCAGGAGTGGTTGATAGGAAGCAGAATCTTACCCAGATCTTGACTGAGAACCCTGGCTTCATTGGGGACCAGGTATCTCGGCGGTTCGATACGACAAATGGAAACCTCCCCTTCCTGTTCAAGGTCTTGGCCATTGGCAAAGCCCTCAGCATACAAACTCATCCTGACAAGAAGACATCAGAGAAACTTCATGCCGAACAACCGACTGTTTACACCGGTGAGAGTTCTTGTTGACGTGGCCCTCAAGTCCTCACGCATAAGTTGTGCGAAGATCCGAACCACAAGCCTGAGATGGCCTTGGCGTTGACAGATTTCAAGGCGCTGTGCGGTTTCATGCCGATCACGAGGATCGCTGAATACGTCAAAGCCGTTCCCGAATTCAATTCACTAATCGATTCGTCTATCGTGGCGGAATTTCTGAACTGTACCAACTTGCCTGAGTCGGAGCAGAAGGCAGTCCTTAAGAAGTTCTTTGCAGCACTCATGACCGCTGACGTTTCCATTATTGCAACACAACTTCGGACACTCGTTGCGCGTTACCAACGCGGAGGTCAGAAACCTCTAGAAGAGAATGTCAAGGATCTTGTTCTGACATTGAATGAGCAATATCCCGGAGATGTCGGAGTATTCTGCGCATTCATGCTAAATTTCGTCCAAATGACTCCTGGGCAGGCTATTTTCCTGGGAGCTGGAGAGCCCCACGCTTACGTTGAAGGCGGTATGTCTTTCCCTGCTGGTATTCAGCTCACTTTAATAATGATTTGGAAGATATCATGGAGTGCATGGCCAATTCGGACAATGTCATTCGCGCAGGTCTTACCCCTAAACCCAAAGACATTCCCAATCTTGTTTCGGTTTTGACCTATACGCCATCAGATTGGCAGAAACACATGATCGAGCCTGTTGACATCACACCACGCACCCGCAAATATGATCCCCCAATTCAAGACTTTACGGTTCTCCAGGTCAAGACCCAAAAGGGCGAGACCGAAACTCACGAGGCTATTCCAGGTCCTTCAATCGCAATCGCTACGGAAGGTTCCGGCCGGGTAAGCTGGAGTGGTGGCGAGTTAGACTTACAAGCTGGAAGCGTCATCTTCGTGGGAGCTGAAACCAAGATAAAGATCACTGCCGGAGACTCCGACTTGGTTGTATTTCGCGCGTATGCCACAGCCTAGCTAGGTGACAGCACAATTAGCAGGACAGAGGATTAATATTAATGGTTGAGTGCCGGGAATACACTTGGTTTGTGTGATCTGAACTCGTACATTCGAAAACAATTATCATCGTTCCAAACCTTCCGAGAGTCGACGGAGAGGTGTATGGAGTCCTTAGCAAGATTTCTAAAGCTCATGGTGAAGCCCCAAAGCAAAATCATAGGTGAATTGTTGCAAACAAGTGCTCGTGATGTCCACTAGATCGTGGCCGCGAGAAAAGGCCAACAAGGAACGATATCTCAATCGTAGTAGAGCCTCGCCCACCGCTCTCGAAGACAAGACAATGTGTGATGACACGATATGGCGGGGTCCATGCCATTTACTGTACACATTGCAGTGTCCACCCGGGGACATCCAGCAGATGGACACTCTGGGGCCAAAGTCTGGCGTCCAAATCCCTGACTTTCTGTCACATGTCATGCAAAGGTCTGTGTCCGTATGCGTCTCGTGTGGGATAGGGAAATAACTGGCTGCAAAGTGCGCAACAGGACTTAATTCCATGTGATCCTCAAGGCTGCCGGGTGATATTCTACCGCTGTCTATTGCGCGATGCGGCTGTTTGAACGTTCAGACGTCCATACAAGTCTCGAGATCTCACACCTGATCACGGTGAGGTTGATGAAAAAGGATGATGAAAAAGTATTCGTCCACAGACTGCATGGAAATGACATCGGGACGTGGAGAGTGATAAAATTCCAGGCCATCCCGTTGGTCTAGGCAAAACACACAGCCCAACTGCCCAGCCGCACTAAGTAGTGTGGCGCAAGATTCGCACCAAATGTTTGTTTGTGTGACAATATTTTCACCCGCCGATCATCGATCAACCCAAAGGGGGGCACTTTACATAAACTTGTCCCACAATATTATGTAATGGCGTAGGATGGTACTACTAGTAGTAACAACTTAAAAGCAATTGCTTCGACGCTCATCATGCTCCCCTCAATTGTGCTCTTCGCAAGTCTCGTTAACCTTGTGTCTAGTGCAGCTGTGAATAATATACGACCCCTAGTAATATGGCATGGAATGGGTGACACCTACGCATCTTCTGGTATGGAGAGCTTTCAGAGTGAGGTCAAGGAAATGTACCCCGGCATATTCGTCCACTCCATCTTCATCGACGAAGACCCAAATGTAGACCAGCGTGCAAGTTTTGTGAGTATTCATAATGCCATTATACGAGTTTCCTGATATCCGTCAGTATGGCAATGTCAACAAACAAATCGTGCAAGTTGCCCAGCAGCTCGCTGAGATACCCGAACTAAGCCGCGGTTTCGATGCCATAGGATTCTCACAGGGAGGTCAATTCCTTCGTGGCTACGTGGAACGCAATAACAGCCCGCCGGTGCATAACTTGATCACCTTTGGGTCACAACACATGGGTGTATCAAGTTTACCAGCCTGCAACACGTGGGATCTACTTTGCCAGGTCGCACGTCGAGCAGCAAATAGGGGTGTTTATAGTGAATGGGCACAGGAGAATCTTGTTCAGGTTTGTCAGAAATCCCCCTCATGTATCATGCTACCATTAATTCATTCATCATCAGGCTCAGTTTTTCAGAGACCCGCACCGGCTCTCGCAATATATGGAGTCAGGGAGCTTTCTACCGGACATCAACAATGAAGTCTTGCTCCCGTCTTCTCGCAATCTATCATATGCAGATAACCTTGCCTCTCTGAATAAGCTCATTCTCGTCCTCTTCCTCCAAGACAAAACTGTAATCCCAAAGGAGAGCGCTTGGTTCGGCTCCGAGCAACCTCTTGAAGACATCACTATGGACCAAGCATCTGAATCCCATCAGACGCCGATGCTCGGTGGAGTGAACACCAAAGACATCATCCCGATGCGTCTACAAAACCTTTACAAAGAAGACTGGATAGGCCTTCGACAGCTTGACGAACGCGGACGTATTGACTTTGTGGCATGTCAGGGAGAGCATATGCAGATCGGTGACTGTTGGAAAGATTTGGTTGCTGAGTGGGTGGGAGGATCTCTGGGCGCAGATTGAGGTACATCCTTGACAGGATGCGCCACACTGACATTACACAGTCTGTACACTGCCAACGCTTGTTCGGCGCGCCACTATTGATTGGGTCGTGTTCTACTATGTGAAACAGACACTGCGTCACGATTTGTCCCAAGTACTAGTTGTTCACATCATGTCGCAGTACTCAAAAATATCAATATTATATAAGTCTCACATTGGCATTAATCGCATGATTTTCCCGGCTATTCCCATTTGTGCATCCATAGCGCTCCGAATCCGCTCCGAATAACGGCAACAATAAACTGGTGAAAGTTCACGCTCACTTGTGTGAAGTTTAAGTGCCTTCTCGATTTCTTACTCACCTGAGTCACCTCGACATTCATTTCCTTGCTCGTCCCCTTTAAGTCATTAGCAATGTCTGGTGCAGCATCTGCGGCCGCAGGGTCGAAACTCTCCGCATTCATGAATCATCCAGCTGGTGCGTGGGATGTTGGTTGATGGCAGATTTTGGCGCTGACGCACGTCCTGGTCACGGCAGGTCCGAAGACAGTGTTTTTCTGGGCACCATTGATGAAGTGGTGTCTTGTTGCCGCTGGTGTAAAGGACATGAGTCGGCCAGCAGATAAACTCAGCGTATCACAAAACGTTGGTACGTAGATGTGTCATTGACTCACTATTCCCTGATTAAGTTGTTCCCGGATAGCGCTCGCATGCACAGGTTTTATCTGGGTGAGGTACTCAATGGTTATTACCCCAGTAAACTACAGTTTGGCAGCGGTAAGGGTCCTAGTTTTCTTGACGACGATAACGATAACTCATGCGCCGTTGTACAGGTGAACTTCTTTGTCGGCTCGACCGGTCTAGGACAGTTGGTTCGGATTGCAAAGTGAGTTTTAGGCCAAGCTTCAGGAGTTTGAATTCTATGCTAACGATCGAGCAAGTCACCGATACAACGGAGAGGCAGTCAAGGCTTGATTGGTTTCTTTTGAGAGTTTCACTATGTATTCATGCTTCCCTTGCAATGTCACTTTGGTCGAAGCTCCGCGAATCGTTCTTATTCGAATCATATACGCTGATATATAATAAGTGTGCCTACGCTTGAAAAACGTATCATCGACTCCTACTCTTCTTCCTTCTGTCGCTGTCACTGCTAGTGGCTTTATCATCGGAGGTCGGCCCGTCAAAAATCCCCCGAGCTGCGTCCCACCATCCACCTTCCGCCAGTAAGCGATTGGCAGCTTTGGCGATGTTTGACATGATCTTTTGAGCGTCATTCCCCTCTTGGTTCCCGTCGCGCTCCTGATACTGCCATTGCTTGTGCTTCTCAAATGACTCCCACGATTTGGGACGGTCATTTGACTTGCGTTGTGTACGCGTCTTGGGTGACTGTGATGTACCAGGAGTGGTCTGGGTTTGCTCATTCAGCACGTCCGAGATGAATCCGGCCAAGCTAGAGATGATGCTTGTGCTTCCAATACCCGCATTCTGCCCCATATACCACCCCGCCCCCGCAGTAAGCGCTCCGAAGATGGTTCCCCACTTGATGAACCAGATGCTGGTTCTAACCATCCAACTAGTAGTTCTATATAGACTGACTAGTGCGAGATATGCGGCAAGGAAGCTGATAAGAGGAGGAAGGATAGTTTGTGCATCCCATTGCCATGGTTTGGAGGAAATTAGGGACGAGATCAGGGAAAGAAGCGCTGTGAATAACGCAAGCGAGTGCGAGAGAAATGAGAGCAGAAATGAGTACAGAGGTGCGGGAAGCTGATCAGCGAGGAAGTCAAGGAGGGGGTCTAGAAAAGCTGGCAGTGGGATGTCTGCCGGATCCATGGTTGCTATTATATGGTATGAATTGCTCAATGCCTTGGATCTCGAGGTTCAAGTTGTAAAGGTCCTAGTCAGGGCTGGTGTGACACGTCAAGCTTGCGACGAAGTACGTTAACAGGCTGTTGTGTGGCTGTGTGGTGTCACGTGCACAGCAAGTAACAGAATGGAGAAAGAGAAATTAGTAGGAATCAACCAATCGGATCGGATCGGCTTGATACCAGCCGATTGAGCCGACCACCGATTATCGCTACTCCGACATTTCCTGTGAGGTGTTCGCTCCGCGAATATGCGCCAAACATTAACAAATCTGATCGTGTATAAGTTCGAGCTTTATATCAGCTTTCCTCCTTTCCCAAGAACTCTAACGTGTAGCTTCATCTGCCTATACATACACCCACTAGCGCCCTATTATATCATGGCCATGAAGCGCAAATTCGACTTTGATGCTACTGACGACTGCCCCCAGGTCATTCTATTTAGTCTATCTTATTTTACTTCCCCACTAATACTTGCTCATATCAGGTCGCCAAGCAACTGAAAATGGTTCCCTTCCCGAACTATGAACCTGACGCTGATGCTCTTATGTCTGAATCTCCTTCACATGATGATGTCGTTTCGTTTTTCCCTGAAAACTATCACTCTCGCCTTCATTCTACTGCCAGCTCGTCAAGTGGTTCATCTCTATATTCGGATGCCATCGATCATAACTCTCGTATGTACACCTGAGGCTCAGATGATACCAACTCTCACTCGCATTTACGTGTTTTCATACAGCTCTGTACCCTCGTCTCGCCCAGGTCGTCGATTATCCAGCGGACAACTCTGACAAGGCGGTTGGGCTGTTACAACCTGCAAGTTCTTTCACTCACCATGGGTAAGTATAAGGAGACCTCATCCTCGATTATGATTCTGACTTGTCACTCCCTCCCTTCTGCCTTCATAATGCCGTGCTTTGTAGCTCGCATTGCTCACAAATACCCAAGCTTCGTGTTGCCTGCTCCGCTGGTCCCGACGGCTCAAGGACAATGTGGAGCTTTTGTGAACAATGCGGCGCGATTTCCATGGTGGATTCTGACTGAAATCGCCGACATGCTTGACTGCCGTTTTTTTATCTTTTTTATTTTGCTGATTATCCTTTCGTGTTTTTCTTTCCCCCTGGCTCGACTGGTCACGTCTGTTTCCGACATCGATCGCATATTCGCCTCTCGCCGCTAAAAGTTACCATCACCTTCATCCGCCTCCTCCGACTTCACCGCCCTTCTCGTGATCAACGCCCGGTCAATCTCCGAACCTCTGACAACCACTCGACATCAAAACATAGGCCAAATATCATAATGATGCACTGCTACGTTTGCTAAATATGCTCTCGCTGTACATATCCTGTTCCGTTGTAACACAAGTTACCGTGCTCTGTTGCTTTGACACCAATTACGTGTGAAGTTCGTCTGATCAGCGATATTTCCAAAGTAACTTAAGCTTCAGGCCTAGGTTTCGAGATAATCCGAATTTTCACTTGCTAAGTATATCGAGAGTTTGATCGAAGTTATACAATTATGTACTCCGTAACGTCCACGCCACATCAAACACTTCTTTAGCTACTGTCAGCGTGCGCTATGACCCAAACAACTTTGCTTCAGTATGAAGCACCATGTAAGTCCAATACATCGTCACCACTTCTCGAACATACTTGGTAACCTTGATCAGGGCCTGTACATGCGCTTGATTGGTGCAAGTCAACTGCACCTGGACATCAATCTCGTCCACGATCGGCTTTCCGTCTCGGAATTGCATCCTTCTCTGAAGACTATCGGAATCGGATTGCTATCGTAGGACTTCAAGATGAGCGCGTCCTTGTTGAGGATGATTATACCGATTACCCCGACTTTGTGACGCTGGTAGAAGCAAACCATGGATACCCAGCAACCAATTTGCAATGGCAACCTGCGAGTGCGAGCGGTTTCCAATGGACTGGCAAGGCACCAGCTGCAGAGCTACTTGCCACGACTGGAGATGCGCTGAGGGTATGGGAGTATTTTGGAGATGCACCGCCAGCGTCGTCGGCTTATGTTGGGAGGCAGCCCACGGGCGGAGGGCATCGGTTGACACTTAAGACGGCACTGTCTGGGGTACGTGATTGCAAACTCACGCCCTGATTGAAAACACTGACGCCTTTGTGTGTACCAGCAATCCAAAATCCAAAACCAGTCCACTGGTCCACCATTAACCAGTTTCTCTTGGAATGAGAAAGCCCCCAGCTTAGTTGTCACATCATCAATAGATACGACGTGTACCGTCTGGAACATCGACACATCCACTGCCATAACACAACTCATTGCCCACGATCGAGAAGTTTACGACGTTGCATGGCTTCCGGGATCGACAGATATATTCGTATCGGTTGGGGCAGATGGTAGTCTTCGTGCATTTGACCTACGGAGTCTAGAGCATTCTACCATTTTGTATGAAACACCGGCACCCAAAAGCGGTCCGCCCGCAGCCTCAGCATCATCGCGTCTACCTACATCACCTCTACTGCGCATCGCATTCAACCCCGCTGACTCAAATTACATGTCCACATTTCATATGGATGGACAGGATGTGCAAATTTTAGATATGCGGAGTCCTGGTCAGCCGGTGATAGAACTGAGAGGGCACCGCGCGCAGGTGAACGCGATGGGATGGAGCACAACCGATAGACCAACACTGGCTACCGCAGGTAAGAACTGCGATGAATCTCGTGCATGTGTTCGACCTGAACTTTATATGCAGGGGATGATTGCCAAGTTCTACTGTGGGACCTCGCTACGTACACACAAACGGCGACCTCTCCCCGCACTGCAAATTCTCGCTTAAATTCGCCGCGGCCAGATGTCAAGAAACGTGTGGTCAGCGATCCGATAATGGCCTATTCTGCGAGCAGCGAAGTGACCAACCTCGCATGGTCTCCTCAGATACAGGGGATGACGATGAATACGGGTCACTCGACAGCGCCTGGAGAGTGGCTAGCGATTGCGAGCGGGAAGTTTATCAAGGCACTCAAGGTGTGAATTTAATCTGCTGGAGAATCGGAATGGTGTTACAGCAGTTGTACGTTACATAAATGGGAGTGCGCTTGGCCTTTTGAGCTGTACACTCTATCTATGGCCATGACAGATCCTGGCTCATCCTCTTTCCCGCTATCTTCGCTATCTCACAAACGTCCACCGCCCATTTGTTTTTACATACCTCATGTCTCATGATGTCGCGCTTGGCGGCAATAATCTGTGTAGATTAGTTGAGGTGTAAAATGTTGTCTGAATATTGTCACAGTATATATATTCGTAGTATTTTGCTCGAACAATGTACACTACGTTCTGGATCCGTGGGGCTGAATCGACAAATATAAATAGACTGGACTTGCCTCGAACGCCCATCTAGATAAGAACTTAAGTACTTATCATTTATATTTATTTATCAAATACCACCACTCGTTTCTCATGTCGCAGGCACTTTTGCTTGACCTCTGTGGTCTTAATCGACGAGAGACTCCATCTTGGATGGAATAATATTACTGCGATCCCTTCACGTACACCTTCCAAAGGCAACCAATTCGGGCCAGTTACGATTTGGTCCGCTCGGCGAATGTAAAGCTCCGTATTGGCTCCGATAAGTTTTTCCATTTTTCCTCTGGTGTCCGGTCTTTTGTATATACTTTATTTCGCCGTGAATTTCAAAAAAAAAAAACACGGTGCACGCATGCCCAGGAACTTGGGATCATCAGGCTATCCCATGACGCCGCATATGACAGATGAGTCCACATGTACGGACTCGGAGGTTGCTCGGGGCCCCAATCAATATTAAAGAGGTCGTATAATTGACGCTCATCTCTCTCTCTGCATTTCTTCTGGCCCCCCAACATGTCAGCTCCAGCAGGCGATTTTGATGTAGAGAACAAGTTCTTACACAGAAAGACGTCCGTCTCCACGAACTCTGATGGAAACCGGGAAACCGCACGCGTTGTAAACCCTGGGGGCGATCCGGAGAGCACAGAGGAAAAGGATGAAGGGACGCAAGCGAATAACACGTCCGATAAGAGACTGCGTGTTGTCGTCCTGATTGCACTCGCTGCACTCATCCTTGGGTGGTGGATCTCTTCCACCATTTTGACAGCGACACGCGGACAATGGTATGATGTGTCCTCCGAGTCTTTCAAGTAACAAACCTTTATTCTTTTCAAAGGGTCGTGCGGACAGTTTTCGCGTGGTCCTTCTTACTGTAAGTAGTGATATCTATGCAATAATATCCCTTTTGCTTATTATCCGTACTCTTAAGCATCATCGCGTTCCGCTTCATACCCAATTCGGTAGTGACGGAGCCTATTGCTGCTGTATGGATACCATGCGTCCAGGTGCCTTGGTACAAGCTTCCTCGGACGGCGAGATTGACAATTGGATGGCTCTGCCTTCTTGCCATCGTGTTTGGGTCTGCTTTCGGATTACCACTCACTGGCGTGAGTTCTGTTGCCTTGAGTGAGTTTTTGATAAGCTGACTTCGTTATAGAACAGCGATTATGGACATCGGGCAATTTCAGTACTTGGGTTGTTTGTTTTCCAGTGCGGTTTCTACTTGTCTTCTATAAATAGATCGGCAATTTGCTGGTTGGTGCCCCCTTCTCGGCCTAGTGCATCTGCTGATTTGAATTGCAAGGCCTACCGTGATAGTCGGCCTTTTCCTTCAACAAACTATTGCTCTTTTTGTGCTCAAGACCGGCGCTGGGTTTTCCCTCTTCAAATACATCGCGGATCTCGCAAACGATTTCTTGTCGGAAGCCGATGTCGGAGCTACGTTTTTCTTCGATGCAGCAACCGTTGCAAAGGGTTGGTTTTTTGTGAATGTGGTATGAGGGTTGTGTCCTCAAGCTCGAATGCAACCTGATGAAATGATAGCTCTCCGCAGTAATCTTTTTCATCGCCACAATTCAAATGTTGTACTATGTCAGTGACTAGGCCCTACTCGGGGTCCTCAATGCTAACTTGTACCAAAGCTCGGCGTCATGCAATGGATGGTCAAAGGATTGTGAGTACATGAAACACATTATTCATCGAGGAGCGAGATTCATTGTTTTCATAAGTGCATGGTTATTCTTCAAGCTCATGAACGTGTCTGGCGCTGAGGCGGTCGTTGCGGCTGCTTCTCCTTGGGTAGGCCAAGGAGAGTCTGCGTGTTTGGTCAAGCCTTATGTTGATATCATGACCCCATCGGAACTTCATCTTTGCATGACTTCTGGTTTGTTCGCCATATTCTGCCAACGGAACGTTAATATTTATGAATTCAAGGTTTCTCCACCATCTCCGGATCTGTTTTGACCGCCTACGTTGCCCTGGGTGTTCCACCCCAGAATCTTATCACTTCATCTGTCATGAGCATACCTGCTTCTATTGCCATCAGTAAGATGCGGATTCCCGAACTCGACGAACCTGTTACTCGTGGCCACATAATAGTGGACCGCGGGGACGAGGGAAAGGAACAGCCAGTCAACGCTCTTCACGCATTTTCTTTGGGAGGTCTGTTTGGCCTAAAGGTCGCAGGACAAATCCTGTGAGCTCCTTGAAACGGCCATCAACGAGTCACTCAGCTTGTTTTTATAGCACTAACGTATTGACGATCTTGTCGCTCGTCGCCGCTATCAATGCCGTCTTGACATGGGTCGGCCATGGATTCGGCATCCACCAGCTTACTTTACAGCTAGTTTTGGGATATATCGGGTATCCTGTCGCCTTTTTCTTGGGTTTGGATACATCTCTGCGATCTTGAGCTATCCAAGCTGATATCTCGCTAGGTGTCCCCAGCAATGAGATCCTCCGAGTCTCACAACTGTTAGCAACGAAGCTAATTGAAAACGAATTTGCTGCATATTTAGGTACTCTTGTAATTCCAATTCACGGACAGGTAGCTGATGGCTGAATTCTTGCAGAACTATCAACCATCCAAGCGAGTTCAAACCCCCTGTCGCAGCGTGCCTTCACGATTGCATCATATTCGCTCTGTGGATTTGCAAATCTCGGATCGCTAGGTATACAGATTGGTGTGCTCGGCGCTTTGGCACCATCGCGGGGCAAAACCATTGCAACACTTGCGACGTCTGCTATGTTTTGTGGATTTATCTCGTGGGTTCTTTATTTGTCCTGTTTTCCGTTTAGTGATGAGAGCTTTTCTGCAGAACTCTCCAAACTGCTGGTATCGCGTGAGTACTTTTTTTATGGTCTTGGTCATGACATCTAGAGCTAACTTCATTTTTCTTAAAGTGGCATGCTGGTATAATACGAAGATCATCATGGGACTAGAATGACTGAGTCGTGGGGCTATATCTTGTTGTCGTTAATACCTGGCCCTTCACCATAAGGGCAAGAGACGTTGTGAATGATACGTACTTACTAGCTAAATCCCAACTGATGCAGGCGACACTCGTCGAGGGTCAGTCGATGTGCTGATCCCTTCTTGGGTGGAGGATACACCACAACGGCTTCAGCTATCAATTCTATACGACAAGGATAATCGATACCAGCATTATTGTGAGGATTATACATCCTCCAAGCGCCGATCCAGTGCTTCGGAACAAGGCAAGATCCGGTCTATCGATATGAAAGTAGCACGCAGCTGCTTCGCTGATAGATAATCAGAACCCATTGGCGATAGAAGCAATATAAGTGCCCACTGGCAGAAAGTCCTGCCGAAAGCCAAACACTGGGATCAATCGAGGTGATACATCACCTCTACAGCTGCTAGCCGTGCTGTGCTGTGCTGTGCACTGATTTATGCATCGCATTTATTCAGTACATTAGGTTACGCTGACTCCGGTATATAAATGTCAATTGGCACCCCAAGTTAATCAGGCCCTCCCTGACATACGACGTGCCGTGCCTATCAATGTCATATAGTGGCATAGCTATGCATCATTATCGCAGCGGCGCCATAGCCTGCCTTGGAATGTAATCCAGTTGGCTGGTACCATCATTTCGGGATGCTAGTAACATCATTAATATTGATCAAGCGAGCAACATTCTTGTCTGGCACTGATCTTATTTCAGTACTGGTTTCCTTCCCAGAGTCATCTTTGCTGGTTCAATTTCCAGTAACAGTTGCGTTGCCTCCCACCGACATTCAAGTTGGCCCTATATTTTGCCCGCGGTGAGAGTGACAGACCGCGTTTACAGTCATTGCAATTCTCGACACATCGCATTATAGTGCATGGCGCCTCTTACTATCTCTGATGACTATAGCTTGGCTGTGCATCAGTTTGTAGGCTTAAAATAACTGGGGCAATTTCAAATTACTCAATCCATACTAGTGCATGCCTTCTATCGAATATCGTACTTAAGTGATGCTTGCAGGTTCATCGGGGTTCCATTCAGGACTTGCGAGTAGGTACTTATACAAGGCACATACTGAGTACCAAAATTATCCTGATGTCTTCCCTACTACCGGTCTCAGACCTAACGAATTTGCAGACTGTCAAGGTGAGTAAAGGGCGGCTTGTCTCTGATAAACTCGAGGTTAACATTACGTTCGATTTAGTACGCCAATTGTGAGTGTCCGCGGATCGTCTAAAAACTGAGCGGCGGCATTGACTATTTTTTTAGTGGGTAGTCTTGCAATCCTCGTGAGTATCAAACACATTTCTGGTGTTCCTACCTCAAATTTCTTGCAGGTGTTTGATTATTGCATCACTTTTTCCGAAGAGGTCGAGGAAATATCTGTCTGTTCGCGACTGTTGTTCTGACCACACCCCACAGGTGCGATGGACCTGGTTCAAACCATGGGATGTAACCCGTGTCATATTCGTTATCTCCCGATATTTGCCTTTCGTGGGGGTTGGAATGACTGCATATGGCGAGTGATCTACTCCAATTCTCCTTATCTTGTGTTGCTGATGGGCATATCTTAGACGCACTACGTGTCAGCAATCAGGTAAGCTTAGATAGTGAATAGTTTCTACGCTGAGCTGATTGCATGGGTAAAGTGTGCCTCTACTGTGGAAGGATATAGTGAGCCTACCTGCCAAACGGTTCATAAACTCATGCAAATTGAACAATGTGAATTTCAGTCGTTCACGTCATAAGTATCGCTGCTGCGGAAGGTGCGCGTTCTACATGCATGTCAAGAGCACAGTGGGTCTCACTTCTTTGGTAGCCTTGCTGGTTATCCGGACCTGGGCATTCTGGCAAAAGAGTAAAAATTTGCTGATCGGATTAGTTGTTTATAGTGTGGTGCGTGTTTTACAGCGCAGGAATGATGGCATAGGTTTTTATTATTGCATAGTTGACAATCATCGCCGCCATTGCTGCAGACTTAACTCCTACGATGTTGATCCCAGGAGGTGAGTTCATTGGTATTCACGAACGAAAGTCGTTCTAATATGACTATCAGAGGAGCCCCCTCCAGGAACATGTTACTTCGAGAGCACACGTAATGCTGCGATCGTATACTTGTTCTTGGTGATATTCGAAAGTGGTCGGTGATCATCCAAAGTTATCTATTGGCATTCTTACCTATAACAACTTGGCAGTGATGCTGATCCTCAATGTGTATAAGAGGGTCCGCGACTATAAAGACTTTCAGAGCGGAATCATAGTAACTTTATACCACGGTGGCATGTTCTACATGTTGTGCATCCTCGGTACGTGGAAATAGTTAGCTCTCGAGATGTTATTGACTAACGCGTTTAAGGAAGCCGTCACGCTCGGTAATGTTATCTTTGAGGGTGCACTTCCGGTACATGTCTGGTCTATCAAATCCTACGACTCGCTAACTTTCCTTTCTTTTCTGCAGAGCGCCTACAGCAATATGTTTGACTCGTACGTCACCGGCTGCACTCTTACTACTAGTTGATCTTGAACCCACTGCGCTAGGCTACAGCTGGTCGTTCACAGCGTCCTGGCATCACGAATTCTATTCCGTCTTCGAGATAGCAATGAACGTGTCCACGTACCGTCCATGTCAGTAATGACATTAGACACTCAGCTAAACTGTTTACGACCTTCGTCGATGTCGATGAGTGGGATGGGTACTACCAGTGAAGTTTGAGGGGAATGTAGGTGTACTAGTATGCGGAACCATCGGCCTCTGAGCTTATACTATTATTATTTATTGGCCAATGATAGTGCGAGACCTGAGGGAATCAAATGGTGATTTATTCTTGTTTCCTCCAAGCCTAGTTGCGGTGTCAATTCTTGTATATACTACTTTAGAGATTTAGTATATATTTAAGTCTTACGTAGTAGCTGATACAGCACCTCACCCGGTGAGAATAATGCATTATTCATTGTAATGGCTAAATGATACATTACATTAGAGCGAGGAAGAGACGTATGTGCGGAGGTCCGGGTATCACCGGCGGGAGGAGATTAGGTCATTCAACAATATTGCTATGCATCATTTGCATGATTATCAGTAACATCGTAACATCAAACAAGCAACCCAGCTAGCCTTGATTGATTGATCGAAAGCTTGATCGATGATATGTTGAGTAACAGTCTCCTTCAATTAAATCCCAGACTCCAGAGTCATCGATATCTTTGCTGGTTCAATTTCCCGTAAGTTGCATTACTTTCCACCGGAATTCAACTTGCATCTCACAGGCCCTATATTATTTTCGACGGTGGAAGTGACAGACAGCGTTTGCAGTCATTTCAATCCTCGACATCTCGTATTATGGTGCATGGCACCTAGATCCTATTATTATCTCTACTAACTGCAGGTTTGCACTAGTCAGGCTTAAAATAACTGGGGTAGTTTCAGTTCACTAAATTAATACTAATGCCCATCGAATTTTATCACACTTAAGTAATGCTCGCCGTCGCTCTATTCAGGACTTGCGGACACGTACTACAAGGTGCATACTGAGTACCGATATTATCCTGATATGTCTTCCCTACTATCGGTCTCAGACATAACGAAGTTGCAGACGGTCAAGGTGAGTGAAGGGCGGCTTGCCTCTGATAAACTCGAAGCTAACATCATGATCTAGTACGCCAATTGTGAGTGTCTGCGGATTGGCGTCCAAAAACTGAACTAAGTCATTGACTATTTTTAGTGGGTAGTCTTGCAATCCTCGTGAGTATCAAACACGTTTATTGTGTTTCTACCTCAAATTTCTTTCGATGTTGCGCACAGGTGTTTGATTATTGCATCACTTTTTCCGAAGAGGTCGAGGAAATATCTGTCTATTCGCGACGACTATTGTTCTGACCACTCCCCACAGGTGCAATGGACCTGGTCCAAACCATGGGATTTAACTCGTGTCACATTCATCATCTCCCGATATTTGCCTTTCGCGGGTGTTGGAATGACTGCATATGGTGGGTGATCTACTCCGATTCTCCTTATCTTGTGTGTTGATTTTTTTTTTTTTTTTTTCATCGTTTATTGTCCGTTGGGGCATAGCCCTATGGTAGACAAAACTTGCGAGTATTTACTGTAATATACTATTTGTATGCGGTTTTGGTGGTGTACAATCATTGGACCAGGTGAAACACGAGGTCGGGTAAGGCCAGCTAAAGGCGATATATGGGGGGAAGGATTGTTCAGTCTTCTTCGTCTTCTTCGTCTACGGGTGGGGTAACGTCGCCGAATATCTGTTCCATCCTGCGCGTGCTCGCTATGAAGCGGAATAGTGGTTTAATGCACTTTGGGTTGTTCAGCAGGTTCTTAAGATGGTTGGTCTGCGGGCCGAGTTCGATCTGAAGGGTGTGTCGTTGTCTTGTGTACTGTGGGCAGGTGATGATGAAGTGATGGACCGTTTCCTCACGTTGTCGGCACTGTTGACAGATCGGACTGGGTGCTTTGGCAATGCGGTGAAGGTGTTTGTTCAGGGGGGCGTGTCCTGTTCGGAGTTGTGTGTTGATGGGCATATATTAGACGCACTACGTGTCAGCGATCAGGTAAGCTTGGGTGTCGAATAGTTTCTACGCTGAGCTGATTGTGTGGGGAAAGTGTACCTCTAAAGTGGAACAATACAGTGAGTCTACCTATCAAACGGTTCATTTTTCAAATTTCATGCAACTTGAATAATGTGAATTTCAGTTGTTCACGTCATAAGTATCGCTGCTGCAGAAGGTGCGCGTTCTACATGCACATTAAGAGCGCAGTGGATCTCACTTCCTTGGTAGCCTTGCTGGTTATTCGGACCTGGGCATTCTGGCAAAAGAGTAAAATATTACTGATCGGGTTATTTGTGTATGGTGCGGTGCGTGTTTTGCAGTACAGGAATGATAGCATAAATTTTTATTATTGCATAGTTGTCAGTTTCCGCCGCCTTTGCCGCAGACCTCAGTCCTACGATGTTGATTCCAGGAGGTGAGTTCATTGGTGTTCACGAACGAAAGTCGTTCTAATATGACCATCAGAGGAGCCCCCTCCAGGAACCTGTTACTTCGAGAGCACACGCAATGCTGCGATCGTATACATGTTCTTGGCCATGTACGAAAGCGGTCAGTGATTATCCAAAGCTATTCATTGACCTTCTCACCTATAACAACTTGGCAGTGATGTTGATACTTAATGTATATAAGAGGGTTCATGACTATAAAAATTTCCAGAGCGGAATTGTAGTAACCCTATATCATGATGGCATGTTCTACATGTTGTGCATCCTCGGTGCGTGGGAATAGTTGGCTCTCGAGATGTTCTTGACTAACGCGTTTAAGGAAGCCGTCACACTCGCCAATGTTATCTTTGAGGGTGCACTTCCAGTACGCGTCTGATCTATCAAATTCTACGGCTCGCTAACTTTACTATGTTCTTTTCTACAGAGCGCCTACAGCAATATGTTTGATGCGTACGTCACCGGCTGCACTCTGACCGCTAGTTGATCTTGAACCCACTGCACTAGGCTACAGCTGGTCGCTCATAGCGTCCTGGCATCACGAATTCTATTCCGCCTTCGACGTAGCAACGAACATGTCCACCCACCTATGTCAACAATGATGTTAGACACTCGGGTAGACTTGTCGATGTCGATGAGTGGGACGAGTACAGTTTGAGGGAATGTAGGTGTATGCGGAACCATCGGCCTCTGTTAAAATGAGAAGTTTCTGCTCTTATCTGATGTACAACTCAATTGTGATATTATTGACCAATGATACTGCGATACCTCAGAGAACTTGAACGAACGAAACGGTGATTCATTCTTGTTTCCTCCAAGCCTGGTTGCGGCGTCACTTCTTATAGATTTATAGATATCTTCAAATCTTCCTTGTTTTCCCCGGTTCCCACAGCTTCCATCAGACTGATCCAGACACTTCATTCACTAGCGTGATCAGCTGCTTGCTCCAAAAAAAATCCGCTACTACTCAGAACTTCGATGACCGTGGGAGTTACAACTTAGTGCTGCGGCAGTCCCCGAACCGGTTCTCAGTGACGCGTCCGAACTTGTCCGAACCTGTACTTATCTTTTGTCATAATTGAAGGAGACCAGAACTGAAATGAGATTAAGGCTGGGTTGCATGTTTGATGTTACTGCATAGCAATGTCACTGGTGACCTAATCTCCTCCCGGACTTCTGACTCATCTTTACTGGTTCATTTCCCGTAAGTTGCATTGCTTTCCACCGAAATTGAAGTTGCATCTCACAGGCCCTATCAGCCGCGTTTGCTGCTGCAGTCATTTCAATCCTCGGCATCTCGTATTATAGTACATGGCACCTAGATCCTGTTATTATCTCTGATCAGCATCATGCACTGCAGTATCGGTTTGTATCAGGCTTAATATAACTGGGGCAGTTTCAGTCCACTAAATTAATACTAATGCCCATCGAACTTTATCACACTTAATACTCACCGTCATTACATTCAGGACTTGTAGACACGTACTACAAGGTGCACACTGAGTACCAATATTATCCTGATATGTCTTCCCTACTATCGGTCTCAGACATAACAAAGTTGCAGACGGTCAAGGTGAGTGAAGGGTGGCTTGCCTCCGATGATAAACTCGAAGCTAACATTATGATTTAGTACGCCAATTGTGAGTGTTCGCAGATCGGCGTCCAAAAACTGAACTACGGCATTGACCATTTTTAGTGGGTAGTCTCGCCATCCTCGTGAGTATCAAACACATTTCTTGTGTTTCTACCCTCAAATGTTGCAGGTGTTTGATTATTGTATCACTTTTTCCGAAGAGGTCGAGGAAATATCTGTCTGTTCGCGACTGTTGTTCTGACCACTCCCCACAGGTGCAATGCACCTGGTTCAAACCATGGGATGTAACTCGTGTCATATTCATCATCTCCCGATATTTGCCTTTCGCAGGTGTTGGAATGGCCGCATATGGCGAGTGATCTACTACCGATTCTCCTATCTTGTGTGTTCCTGATGGGCATATATTTAGACGTACTACGTGTCAGCAATCAGGTAAGCTTGGTGGCGAATAGTTTCTACGCTGAGCTGATTGCGTGGGGAAAGTGTACCTCTAAAGTGGAAGAAAATAGTGAGACTACCTGTTAAACGGTTCATTTTTCAAATTTCATGCAACTTGAATAATGTGAATTTCAGTTGTTCACGTCATAAGTATCGTTGCTGCGGAAGGTGCGCATTCCACATGCATGTTAAGAGCGCAGTCGATCTCACTTCCTTGGTAGCCTTGCTGGTTATTCGGACCTGGGCATTCTGGCAAAAGAGTAAAATATTACTGATCGGGCTATTTGTTTATGGTGTGGTGCGTGTTTTACAGAGCAGGAATGATAGCATAAATTTTTATTATTGCATAGTTGTCAGTTTCCGCCGTCTTTGCCGCAGACCTCAGTCCTACGATGTTGATTCCAGGAGGTGAGTTCATCAGTGTTCACGAACGAAAGTCATTCTAATACGACTATCAGAGGAGCCCCCTCCAGGAACCTGTTACTTCGAGAGCACACGCAACACTGCGATCGTGTACTTAATCTTGGCGATATTCGAAATTGGTCAGTGATCATCCAAAGCTATCTATTGGCATTCTTACCCATGACAACTTGGCAGTGATGCTGATACTCAATGTATATAAGAGGGTTCACGACTATAAAATTTTCAGAGCGGAATTGTAGTAACCCTATACCGCGATGGCATGTTCTACATGTTGTGCATCCTCAGTGCGTGGAAATAGTTGGTTCTTAAGATGTTATTGGTAACGCGTTCAAGGAAGCCATTACACTCGTCAATGTTATCTTTGGGGGTGCACTTCCAGTACGCGTCTAATCTATCAAATCCTACGACTCGCTAACTTTCCGTTCTTTTCTGCAGAGCGCCTACAGCAATATGTTTGACTCGTACGTCACCGGCTGCACTCTTACTACTAGTTGATCTTGAACCCACTGCGCTAGGCTACAGCTGGTCGTTCACAGCGTTCTAGCATCACGAATTCTATTCCGCCTTCGATGTAGCAACGAACATGTCCACGCACCCATGTCAACAATGATGTTAGACACTCAGGTAGACTTGTCGATGTCGATGAGTAGGACGAGTACAGTTTGAGGGAATGTAGGTGTATGCGGAACCATTGGCCTCTGTTAAAATGAGAAGTTTCTGCTCTTATCTGATGTACAACTCAATTGTGATATTATTGGCCAATGATACTGCGATACCTCAGAGAACTTGAACGAACGAAACGGTGATTCGTTCTTGTTTCCTCCAAGCCTGGTTGCGGCGTCACTTCTTATAGATTCATAGATATCTTCAAATCTTCCTCGTTTTCCCCGGTTCCTACAGCTTCTATCAGACAATTCATTCACTAGCAAGTGATCATCTGCTTGCTCCAGGAACGACTATGATCAATGCCAACGGGTGTATGGATGTATCCATGTGTGTATCTCATTCATTGCTTTACTCTGATGCTTGTGCTTAGCTGTGCTGAGTCAGGCTATGTAGTTGATATCCGGTAAATAAAAGGCGCCAGGTTGAAAGAGAAATCGCACATGGGAGACAAGAAGCCTACGGTAACACGCAAGAAGCCCGATTTCTGATTGTACAGGTTCGTGTCGATGGCCATTGTGTTTCCGTGATATTTTCATTTCCTATTTGAGCTGTAGCTGGTAATGGTTGCGAATTAAAAGCGAGATCAGACGGGCAGAGAACACCTTTGTCGGGATGCTCAGCCATGCGGCAGGTGCCACCGTGCCAGTGTAGGAAACTTGTGAAATCAAACTAGTGCTTACTAAGCAAGTACTATTCCTACACGGACGTTCCTCTTTCCAAACTTCCGATCTGACAACGCCTGCTCATATATATTATATGTGTACCCACCCTGATCTGTGCGTTCCAATTCACCCTAAAAATTGGCACTGCTGTTGGAGACGCGGCTTATCAAAAGCGTCTGATTTTGGCCAGCTGTAAGTTATTCACCCTGTTCCACTAGATTCTCGATGACATATACTAGGCTGACTGTCGGTACAGCAGCGCTCATGCGTCCACCGTCCTCGAGCATAGACTCGCTTAATTATTGATCTGCGTCTAGTCCTAGACTCTATTCCAACCCCACCTCAGAACGACAAGCTCATCTATCGATCAAACCAAACATGTGTTTCAATGCTCCAGGCAAGCATTTCTATGAGCTTTCGTCTAGGTTACGCTCCGACGCCCCACAACCTACTTGTTCTCCCCTCGTATTCCATCTACTATACGGACAGTCCAGATGGGCGATAGGGAAATTGTGATTTCGATGAAGAACCATTGCTTTATCAGCCACCTGGTCTATTGCAATTCTTCGTTTTCAAAAACAGAATTTCCCCCTCGTACTCCATTCGCCAGAGTCTATCAACTGGTCCAGATGGATGAGCAGGACTGTTGCATGACCAGCTGCCTGAGCTTCGACATGCTACTCAGGATGCCAGTGGACATGTGCCACTTCGACTGACTTCTGAATAACGAAGTCAACCAAAGTCTCACATTTTCAAGTTACTTCACTTCGGCTGCAACACTAATGCTAGCAAAATCACCGATCTGATTTCCGATAAATATGACAGATCCTCTGCACGAACAGACTGATGTAGAGTGTAGTGTCCGGAACAGAGTGTCTTGTTCCAGAACTCTGCATCACTCTGTTCGTCGTCGAATCCAGTGTGTATTTCACCCAAAGCTTTCGAAGTCCCTTTGTTTCTGCAAAGTCTTAGTCTCAAAGTATTCACCAACTCTATGACTCTCTATCGAGGACCGTCGATTTCCTGTTGCTCGGCTTAGATTCTCGAACTCGACAAGTTAAATCTTCCTGCTAGACAAGATGGTCGGCAATTGTAATATAGGCAAACTCTGCCGACTAAATAACAGCAGCATGACGCAGTGGAAGCGTGCAGGGCTCATAACCCTGAGGTCACTGGATCGAAACCAGTTGCTGCTAGATTTATTTTGCTTCGGCGGTGCGGGTTTAAAAATGTAAACATTTTTGGTCGCAACATTATGCATTATGACCCGACTGTGCGCAGCTGCTTACGAAGAACATGAAGATTACTCTGGGTGCCGAGGAAATGCGTCAAACTGAGTGTATTTGAGGGGCGGGTCAGCCACCTTGCAAGTGATCATAGTACTGCAGAGGTTGTCCCACCTTCATCCTCACCGCTCCACCACTACCTGTTTATTGTATTACCGCCTACTCGCCGTGCTATCAGCCCACCTGGCATTATAAGCAATGCCTCCGACTACCGCCACGACGTTCGCTACAGGTACGGGGAAACGCAAAATTCACTACCGCATATTCGGACATGCGCATCGAGCTCCCTATGAGGAGGCAATCAATACGACACTTGCCAGGTACAATTCATTCTTTACATATCCAACATCCATGCTTCCAGCGGAACCGGCGTCTACACCACACCCGGAAAGTACGGCGAGTGGTGCCTTCTTGCCCGGGCAACTCATCACGGCAGAGCAGGCGCCAACGGAAATTCTTGCACAGCAATTGCCTCCTACAATTCCAAACGAGAGGTCGGGAGGCAATGCACTAGTGGCGGTTGTCGTTGCCATTGTGATCATGGGGAGCCTGGTAGGCGTTATCGTCGCAGGAGAGATCATGAGGCGGCGGAGACGTCGCCAGGGAACTAGAGAGGGGAGTGACAAGGACGGGACAGACTTAGTGCCGGACAAAGGGAAAGAGGTCTTCGATGAGAAGAGTCCAGATTCATCTGCATCGTCGCTTCAGAATTCGCCCACGTCCATAGAGAGGTTGGCGTTTCATCTAAAACACGCGACTCGTCCCGTGAAGAGAACGACACCCTCCTGGTTCTCGCGGATCTTCCGGAAGGCTCAGGCCATCTTGCATCACAGGAACGCGGAATCCCCAACGGAGACATCCCATGCATCACGGACTCCTGCAGATCGATCGGCGGAGTTGCCGCAGCGGACGACGTGGTCAGATTTTTCATATACGCCAGAACCGGACTCCTTAAGTTACCCGAGGCCGCTTTTGCATTGCATACTCGAGGAGTGTGAAGATGACTGTCAAAGCCAGAGCGGCAGTGAGATTGCCCTTACGTTGGGCCTTGCCATACAACGTTCTCTAGATTCCATTGCCATCACATCGTCTGTCCACGGGGCATCCCAAGTCAAATCATTTGCCACCATTCGAAAATCAGTCGAAGCTGGCTCTATCGTCGAGGAGGGATATGGTGAAGATCGGGGAGATGCTCATGATGTAGGCTTTCTGGAATCTGTATCCACAGGAATGAGCGTGAGCCCTTCTGGCTTGGATCTGGTACCCACGGCATCTTTGCAGACTGTCGACACTGGAGCAAGCGCAGACCGCGAAAGTTTGAGAGAGGAGATGTTCGAGCTGCGAAGAGTTCAAACGAGGAGCATGCAGATGGACAAGCCTATTCTATTGTCCCTGGGCTTCAAAGTAGCAGGCGACGAGGACGATGAACCATCCGATACAGAAACTGAACATGCACCCGATACCATGACGACACCCTTGATCACAAACCTACTTTTTCCCCCAGGATGCGAAGGCCTACGACCCGATCTTCGGGACCTTCTCGGCTCCCAGATAACTCTAGCGACCCTGGCAAGCAGCTATAGTGCAGTGGACCTCGATGACTTCCCTCTTCCTCCTGCTATTGTACTGCCACGTCCGTAAATTAGAAACAAATTAGCCAATTCTATCATAATGAACGGAAGCACGCTGCGGATTGAAGGTATCAATTCAGGGAAATTGGATTCAGGCCGACAGACGCTTGGCAAGCCTGCAACAAGCCTCATGCTAACCCCAGAATGAAATCGGAAATGCAATAACAAACGTGACAGACGCGTGTGTGACCGTGTGTCACATAATCTATTGTCCTCTAGCCATGAGATATATATCCATGTTGTTTCGGCGTTGCATTGAACCACCAAATTTCTCCACTTCTGGGTGACGGTAGAGCGCGTCATGATATCAGTCTCATTTATTTTCTTCGGTTTCTGTTCTGCTATTGCTCTATTACTCACAAGTTATGTTGTATACCATGTCACTATAGCACCCCGGTTCAATCCCCTCAGAAAGTTGGCTGGACCACCATTAAATGGGCCACTGCACAACCACATGTCACCTGTTCTCGAGTAAGTTTTTGCCTCTCTCACTAGACCACTCTGCTCACACATTCCATAAGCCCATTCAGGTCACCCAGGACTCATGCTGCCTATGTGGAGAAATATGGCAGGAACGTTCGTATAAGGGGGCTTGGTCCTGTGAGTGACTGGTCTGTAAAATATGAGAACCGCGAATGACTGTTTGACATAGTGGGACGAACGCCTCCTTCCCCTTGACCCTGTTTCCGTTGCACACGTCTTAAAGAACAGCACAATCTACGAGAAACCTTGGCAATCTCGAAGACTTATTACGAGTCTCATTGGTTGCGGTATGCTGGCTGCAGAAGGTCATGTCCATAAACGTCAACGGCGTGTCGCCATCCCTGCATTTTCCATTCAGAATATGCGAGCACTTGTGCCACTTGTCTTTAGCAAGGGAGAGGAACTCAAAGATAAGTGGATGAATATGAGTCAGGCAGTGAAGGAGGAGAATGTAGCCTCAGAAAAGCAGAACTCTGGTCAAGTGGAAATTGATATCTGTCACTGGATCAGCCGAGCTACTTTCGACGTTATTGGGCTAGCAGGTAACTCATGTTGGGTCTTGCACCCAGCCTTTAGCTGACAATCATGCATCACCCACAGGCTTTGACTACAACTTCAACGCCATACAGAACGAGTCGGACGAACTCTTTGCTGCGTATAAGGAGATGTTTGAGATTGCTGTCTCGCAAGGAGATGCAGTGAGAACAGTTCTGGGGATTTACTTTCCCATCCTAAATAACCTTTTCGTGCGTTTACATCAGTTTCCTCATGAATGCAATCCTGACTGAGCTCTGCAGCCTGATGAGAGGGCCAAGACCGTCCACAGATGCCAAGAAACTATTCGCCGTGTAGCAGGAAAATTAGTGCAGCAGAAAAAATCCAGAATTATAGATGGACAGAATAGCGGTTCCGCATATACCGGTAAAGATTTACTGAGTCTGCTGTGTGAGTCTACCGTCATTTCTTCCAGTCGGTCGGCTGACGGAATCGTAGTGAAATCCAATATTGCAACAGACCTTCCATCAGATCAGCGAATTTCCGACGAAGATATATTGCACAACATTAATACCTTCATGTTCGCAGGGTCCGATACGACATCCCTAGCTCTAACGTGGACATTCCTGCTCCTTGCAAAGCATCCAGACTTGCAAACTCGTCTTCGTACGGAACTTCTCTCTATCGTGCCAACTACTCCAATATCCCGGTTGTCATCTGAAGAAATTGAGTCTCTACACAACACCCTTCAGAACCTACCGTACTTGAACAACGTCTGTCGGGAGTCCTTGCGTCTGGTCCCTCCAGTCCATTCTTCCCTCCGTGTTGCAACGCAAGATGACGAGATACCTGTATCATACCCCGTCCACTTGAGCGATGGCACGATCTCGGAGCAAAAGTCTATAAGCGTGTCGAAAGGGAGCTTCGTGCACGTCCCAGTAGAGGCTTTCAACCTCGACAAGGGTATGTGGGGACCTAACGCCTGGGATTTTGAGTAAGCTTTTTGCGCCCGCTTAATTGAACCACCTCACGAAACGAATTTACAGCCCTGATCGATGGGATCATCTTTCGGAGGATGTGCTGTCACTTCCAGGACTATACTCCAATCTTCTGACTTTCTCCGCTGGGCCGAGAGTAAGCTTTCTCAAGTCTTTGTCGACATACATCGCTCATTTAGACCTTCAGTCATGCATCGGGATGCGTTTCTCTATGATCGAGATGAAGACATTTCTCTATATCCTTCTGACGACTTTCAGCTTTGCCGAAACAGACAAAAGAATCTACAAAGCCAACGTGTAAGTGGCGCACATCATATCCAGGATACATTCTGACACCCTCTTCGAACAGCGTTCTTACACGGCCATATGTTTCTGGACAATTCAAAAAAGGAAGCCAATGTCCACTCATTGTAACGCCACTCGAGTCGATTGCCACCTCCTAGGACATATAAGCATATCAATATATAACACATGTTAAGCACGCATATACCCCTGCATACGTCGAGGCCGGTACACTTACGTAGGCTATCTGTAAATTAATTGGACTCTAATCCACAACATCACTGCACCTGTGCACACAAGTCATGAGTCACATGGATAAGAATGCTACTGGTGATCCAGCTCTCGGTTGTATCCTTTTCGAGGCTATGTTGCTGTTAATATTAATATACGATTGGAGGCACGTGGTACTCGGCAAGTCCCAATTCCTAGGGCAAAATTTGGCTGCGGTGTCAACTCTGTTAACTGAGTCAAATCCTGGTTCCCAGTCAAATCCGGGCTCCTTCTCAAGTTTGAGTGGCTGCGAGGGGGGGCCTGCACCTGCATAACACATGTAAACATTGTCAGTGGCTGAAACAGGACGAGGACACAGTAGAAGTAACTTACTACCACTAGGACTTCTCCTGCAGAATCACCAATCTCCTGCTGAACGTTATGCCCAGGGAACGCAAGACTTACCAATGCGATTGCACACACATTTGCATGGGACGGCTCATTGTTGTCACATGAGGACAATATCAAAATCTCGCCAAGTATTGTCATCTTCCTAAATCACGATACTTGGTGTGATATTGAGAGTTGACACTACGTCTGCACCACGGACAACACAACAGCTGCGCGAATTCGTGACTGGAGGTTCCACTTGGAGGGAGATAGATGGATATCTACCCAGACGACACCTCGCAACCAGTTCAGGATGCACTATTTTTCGTCATCTTGCACTCGAGACCAAAACCAAGTTACAACTCAATTACCATAACACTACTACCAAGATCGGCCATCTCATGGTCATCCTCACCTCAACAGATCCCCACACCATTCCCCTACCACTCTCCACCAAAGCCGTTATAACCCTTCTGTCGAAGACTATTTCGTCGAAGATGCAGGTGCGAATCTACTGCAGTCATCATATGTGCGGCGCAGCCACTCAATACAGCTTTCTCTCGGATTGCTACCGCTGCATGCTGTGACTGACTGTATCATCGTCCCAGCCACCCAGCTCTGAGTCTCAGCCGTGCCCTGCCATTCCCTCCTCTATTCTCCCAGAGCCCTCTGCACTCACTCAAATTACAAATGGAGCCATCATTCAAGTTGATTTGCGCTCGCTACTACCTGAGAAGGGACTCGTCGTACCTGATGTCCCGAAACGTCACTCTGATGAAACTCACCCCCAGAGCTGCCTTTTGGAAACAAACTGAAACACTGACCAGATGGTGACCCCGAGAATGGCTTGTTACTTCCACCTTGAGATTGGCCACTTGAGTGAATCCGCGGCAAGAACGAGATTTTTTTGCAATGAATGATTGCGCTGGAGTTTTTTGACCGGTAAGTTGATTACACCATTTTCAGGCTCATAAACTGCTTTCACCCCACCATCACCATTCCGTGTAATAGGTTCAATGGACATGAGCCTGTATTCCTCGCTGTATATCCAGAGACCACCGCACAGCTTTGCTTTGTGCAATCAACCACGCGAAGAAGGAGCGCGGGGTTATCATCCCTCGCAAGTAGTGAGTCATATCTCTCGCACGCTGCCAGCGACCGCGCTGATGATTTTTGACTTTTTTCAACACTCCTGCGGCACGTTACATCAACCAGGCACTGGGATAGGACAGTCCTGGATAGAGGAGCTGGCGCGAACGGGTATACTAGTACCGGCGTGTAGCCCATTTTCTGATTCCGTCGATTTCCGTCGATCTCCCGCGTGCGACTCGGTGCGAAGGCATCTATCCGATTTTCACTGGGATGTAACTGACTCTGAGCTCCCCTAGTAACTGCTGCACAAAAATACCGATAACTCAATTCCAATCCGAGTAAGTAATACAAATTGTACATGCGCGCACGCGCATACCAATACCAATACCAATTACTACATAAATCGTTACCCCGAGTCGCGCGCGAATTTGTCCCTGAGGTCAAGAAGGAAAGCATAACAACCCCGAGTCGTCAAGCTCACAGATGCGGTGCATTACATTTGAATATCATCTTGATTCCAGTCTCCATGCCTGAGTCCGTGTCTGGAGATGCGCATTTCCCCGAACGAGAGCCTCGTTGATCTTCTCCACCCACATCGCAGACATGGCGCTCGTCTCTGCAGCGTATGTCTGTGATCTATTAGACTGCGTAGCGTGTAGAAGATCAACAGGGTGAACCACGTAAAACAGGAGTGAAAGGACTGACAGTCAGAATAACAAACTCTCGCTCGCCTTTCGGCTCTGCACTCTCGATCACATTTCTGCAGTCCTTACTTGCATCCCGCTCTTTCTCCTTTCCTTCCCTCGGCTTCTCGCGCTCCTTGCCCTTATCTCCTGTACCCAACCCGACCTCACTCTTCAAGCTCACTTGACCACCCCCCTTCTGTTTCACGCATAGCAGCCGCATATTCGTAAGCACCAGCTGCCGCGTCTTCGTCTTCGTGAGGCTCGCGCTAATCGGCAGACGTAGTTTACTACCACGACGCTTCGGTGACCGAGCCTCGACGCGCGTATGGAATAGGACGCATTCGTACGGTAAGAGAAGGCTTGACCTATGACGGCAAAGGGCAAGAAAAGAAAAGGTTTATTAGGAGTCTCTAACTTGAGTACATCAATGACGCACCAATCTGCATTCGAACATGGCCCGTTACCCTGTACCGGAGTCTGCGCACGATTCCGTCCGCGCGATAGGCTTGGCTCCAGCTTTGCCTCGGTAGCTGAGCCAATCCTCATCTTGATGGCGAGATCTGCTGCCACCCTACCAACGATGGGGCTCCCGTCAGAAGAGCTAGAGCCTGAGCCAGTTCCGTTCACTCCGCGGACTTGGACGGATATAATTGGAGGAATGATCTCAGTAGGGACAGGAGAAACTTCTGTTGGTGACAAGGGTTCCGCTCCATCCTGCGTTGTTAGTGGAGAGGTCTGTATTTCCGGTAATGCAGTGTTGTGCTCGTGCTCGTCAACGACCGTCTGCGTCTCTTCCAGATCTTCTTCCAGCCCCGGCATCATCCTCCCCTCACTTGTCCTTGATTGCCATACAAGATAATCCGGATTTTCTCCCATCGGGCCCTCTTCCGTATACCTTGCCTTGAATGAGTGCAACATCGTCCCCTCACTGTCCCCTGCCCATCCTACACCATCTCCACTTACCTCGCCCTCCCCACTCCTGCTACCCGCATCACCATCACCACCTACTAATCGATCCCACATCTCTCCTAAATCATTCCACTTTTCCCCCTCCACCTCATCTGTCGCAGGTACCTCCTTCTTCACAAGCCCCGCCTCCAAAAGAGGTGCAGGGTCAGTCCACAGCGTCTCCCACGATACAGACGCGAAAAATGGATGTGCCCGAAGTGCCGCGTATGAGTGAGCAGAGTCTGGACCGCCGGCGCCGAGCCGTTGTGTCGGATCGTGTACGAAGAGACGCCGTATGAGGTCTTTGGCGTCTTCGTCAAACCCGTCTGGGAAGGTGTAGTCGAGAGACTTGATCTTTTGCCAGGTGAGGTATTCGCTGAGGCCTTGGAATGCGAATCGGCCAGAGATCATTTGATATATTATACAGCCAAATGCCCAGAGATCCGAGCTGTAAGAGATATCAGTACCTTGATGAGTTGTGTTTGAAACATCGGACACAAGGGTTCCTGATGCCAGGAACGAAGAAAGAGAAAATATAAATGTAACGACACTCGATATATGCATGTGTTTTGAAGGATAAGCGCACCTCTTACTTGTCTCGTTGCTCTCTAGCAACTCTGGCGCGACGTATTGCGCAGTGCCCACAAATGTTTTGGCTCTGTCCGCTTCGGGACTTGTGAGAAACGCGTATACACGGAAGAAATTAGCTAACCTCCGTTCTCTAATATCTTTCCGGTACCAAAATCAGTAATCTTTATTCGAAACTGGTCATCTAGAAGGAGGTTCTCGGGTTTGAGGTCTCTGAAAGTGACGTCAGCAATTTAGTACATGTACCCTTTTTTAGGTGAGGTGGAGAGAACCTCCGGGAAAGGTGATGGAGTAACGCACCTATGAATGACGTCTTTCCCGTGCATATACTCCAGTGCGTCAACGATCTGTGCTGCGTAATATCTGGAAGAGGTGAGGCTTAGGGAGCCGAGGCGTGATATGCGAGATTGCATCTCCCCATTGGACGCCAAGTCAAGGACGAAGACTGGTAGGACATTAACGAAGGGGATTCACGATAAAAGCGGATAAATGCATGTTCCATGCACCCGATCACTAAAGCAGGCGTGGCAGTGTGAAGCACTATCTGCCGAAGAGGAATAGCCGGCCAATAACCGGGATCGGATGCACACGCACAGCATATAGAGAAGAAGGTGGTACTGACATAGGCTCCACTCGTCCTGAAAGGTCCAGTGTAGGTGTATGATACCTGGGTGACCGGCACCCAGTTTGACGAGGACATTCTTCTCTGCGAGGGCAACCAGCATCTTGTCCTTTCGAATGAGATGATTCTTGTCAAGGATCTTGATAGCATATTCCTGACCAGTTCGGATATATCGTGCACGCATTACCTGAGTTGACATGAGTAAGGGGTGCGGGTAATAAGGGATGGACACACTGTCGAGTAAGATCCTTCTCCAAGGGTGTCTCCAAAAGAAAATTCTTGGGCCCCCAGTCTGCCATTTGCACTCCTCGCCCTACTTGCCTCTCGTGATCTCTTCCTGCTCTTGCTCCTCTCCTTGGTCTGCTGTTGGGGTTGTGGAGGTTCTTGACGGCTGGATACTCCGAGTTCACGAGTGAGATAAGTTGGTGGTTTGGAGGGAGTAGCAGTTCTGGACTGTGGGCTTTGGGAACGCGGGGAAGAGAAAGTGCGTGCTGGTCGTGGGCGGGAAGACTTTTGTGATTCAGATGGGATGTCAGTTTCGGAGGATGATGATATGACAGATGCATTTCTGCTGAGATCGACGAGGGTCGGCGGGAAAGTTGGTGGGGTCACTTGTACCATCCAAGAGTACTGTCTGTTGAACGATTCGTTTCCAACCGAGATACTTATGAGTAAGTTGCTCGCAGCTGGCAACGAAACCTTAATTATGTCATCTACTATATAGCCAATCTTTAGATATGTATGGCTGTGACAGATAAGTACATTCAATACCACGTAATCTCGCGGTGCGACCTCCGGATTCACACAGGTAGTAGCGACATGACACACTTGACAGCAAACAGCCAACCCTCTCCGCTCTCACCCACTCCAAGTCTCCAGTGGCATTTGCTTGTCAGGGCCTCGTCCCTGAGTTCACCCCCACCCCCGTCGGTCTGCAACCAAGTGTTTCCCGCGTGACCACAACCATGCACGCTCGTCTAGCCAACCCTGACCTACGAACTCCCCGAACCCAACAGACCCGTAAGAACATGCAGTGGCTCCACTAGTAGTGGCTCGACGACGTTCTTGCGACTATCAGTCTGCATAGTTTGATTGTGCTTCTTCAATTATGGGAGCACCCGAGTCCAGGGGGGATGTGCTTTTTGGAATAATGTTGTGCACTATATGGAAAGAGGATTCAGCGAGTAAGGAGGCAAAGTTATAGTCCAGTGCAATTGCGGAAGTTTGCTGTTTGAGGGGTTGATCGCAAACAGATGAGTAATATATATCCAAGGGGAGAGTGCTATCAGTAGGGACAGTTCTAATGTTCAAGCTTTTTGTTCATCCCAGACTGACATCTCCTCCGCTTCCTCCGCCGGCATTCATGGACACCAGCTCCGTCTTCCATTCGCCTCGTCCTTGACTTCATTTTTCGCAGCCCATCCAAAGACAAAGAAAACGGGCGGGGTCATATGACATGTATCACTAGATATCATACAGGGATAAAATACTTTGACGTTGTGGTAAATTGTAATCAAGTATTTCATGGCAAGCCAAGCGCGCGGCATCAGTGCACCGAATCCTTGTGAGTCGCTAACCATCCACCCTATCAAAAATCTTATTCAGCGAATTACCAAAATGAAGAACGATACGTTTACATTAAAGATGTCGCCATGGTGCTGCCAGTCACACAGGTAAACAGGACGATCTTTGTCCTCCACGTGCTCAGCAACAGCAGCCGACACCAGAGAAATTTCTACGGGAGTGACTGTCCGAGAAGTGGTACAGTGTCGTGGTACCTGGGTCGCCTGCAGCCCTCCCTCAGCCACGGCAAGCTCTAAGCCAGCAGCATCCACAAGCCTTCCAACGAACTCCCCCTTGATGTGAGCGAGGGTCAAGTCCCTGATTCTGTGCCTCCGTTTGATTTGATGATACTCTCGGTCAGTTCGGGAGGGATGGGAATCATTCCGCGAACTACGGATCCTACCTCACGACACGTGGCACACGCTTTACAAGGAGAATGGTCTGGACGCGCGACAGTACCTACAAGCTGTGTCGAATGAGCATTCCCTCTGTGGTAGAGCTGGAATGAGTAGGAGTGGTTGTATGCATGCTCCAGAAGTTTCACATGCACAATAAATGTGCGGTAGTGAGGGATGACGGTATGATCATTTGGCACAGCAGTATTTTCCTTGTTTGGAACAGGTAAGTGCTTCCAAGTATGCGAGGCCACTTGTGTCACCTTGATCTGCGGATCAAAATCGTAGTAGGCTTGCATCCTTTTGCGCGCCAAGGCACGCTCTTGGGATGTCATGGCAGTCTGATCGACCTTAATTCCTTCAAACTCGGGAAACGAATAATCTATTCAAAGTAAACTTATGTGATTCAATCAATAAGATTGCCACGCACACTTGGGGTAGCTTTGTTCATGCAAAAATCGGGCCTGAGAAGAGGTCCAGTAGTTTCCTTGTTCTGTTCGGAACGGTTGGGGTGGTCCGTCTGGAAGGAGCTATTCGTTGTAAACCTGCGCGTATGTGCCACGCACCTAGGAGACAACTATTGAGTATCTGTACGAAAACATCATCCAGCCCATACCTGTGTCCAAGGGTATTGTCCCCCATCGTCTTCATATCCGCTTCCCATCCAGTATTCGGTGTAACACCACTCCCACAGAGCCACTTGGGGGATTCAATAACAAGACAACGCCCTTGGACAAAATCATACATACACAGTCTGTCCACATTCGAGTGGAGAACTGAAGCAAACCACGTAAGTAATGCAGACGGGTAATTTGTACCTGTTCACGCACGGAAAAAGATCGGATCGAAACCGGCCTATGTGAAGATGAGCGCCAAAATCATTGCAGAGGTCAGAAGGAATTGCTCACGTAGTCTGGGTGACTCTGCAAATTTAGTTAATTTAGATCAACGAACCTTACTTGCACGCAAACAGCTAACCATCTGTCCATTCCTACCCTAACTCATCGCTGGAGTAAGCACGAGCCAAAGTTGGAACCAATGTATTCCACCCACAAGCAATAAATGAACAGTGTCGTGCACGCCTTCAAGCGACCCACGGTTGACGAAGTCTGTATCTCTCTTCGATTCCGCGGTATGATTAGAAAACTCGTCCCAGCTTTCAGTATATTCGTCAATACATACATATGCCGGCGGAAAATAAGACGTACGCTATCGCGGAATTTTCGTCATCGTTGAACGTAAAGAGATGAGCGACTCTGAGTCTCAGATTTTTTGCTCCGGCTTTGAACATCCTTACAAATGAAAAATCAGCACCGGCCTCGCGCGACATGTTCCATAGATACTGACTTTTGCAACAAGTATATGTGGGTGCCTTCAGGGTCCGGGGTACTATAAGCGTAGCGGTATGTCCTTCGCCACTTGGAGAAATACGCTACTTGTCCTGTCTACAGACAACATTTGAACAAGTTTGGTGACCCGGAAAGGGAAAGGTAACATTACCAGGTCATCCTTCTCGTCGCTAAAGTCGGCTGGGATTCCGCCGACATACGAGAAAAATGAGAGCGGATTATCGACAATTTGTTTTTTACCTCCAGTAGCCATGATTTCGACTTTTTCTTCGTACAGAACAGGAGGAAGGCCATTCTCTGGTACATCCTTACCGGCCCAGTCCCAGTATCTGCATGTAGTGTAAATGTCTGTATCGGTGTCGGGAATGACTTACCACACACGGAAAACGCAATTCTTTGGCAGCTTTGATCCATACTCCATTTTCATCCGGGTTAGTATCAGCTTCATTGACGTGGGCCAATTGTTCAGCGACGTTTTCGATCGATTGCTGTGACCCAATAAAACGGAATTGAACAGCGCGTCAAGCACGACCGTATTTATTGGACATACCTCGATAAGCATAACATATGAGCGATGCCAGGTAGGAAAAACAACGGCACCATGGCTGAAGAAAGGTTTTAAATCAACAGAGCGAGAGGATGTATGTCGACTTACTTGCAATAACCTGTCACACAAGGGCTTGCCGTGAATTGATGCAATTTCCATGAAGGTAGCTGCAGGCTCTTTGACGACGTGGGGAGCATCGGACCGCTGCTGGATCGCATTGAAAGCAAGAATGAACAATGCAAATTGGTAGGGATGGTCTTTCTCCAGCGTCTGGATGGGTAGGCGATCAAATATGCCTCCAGTGCCCTTGCGGCCGATCACAGGATAGTGGTATTCAACAGAGCTCATTGTTGCAGTAGGTTAGAGAGCGGGACCAACTGCATTTATATACATACAACAGTGCAGCACCTTGACTACTGTCAAGGTATCATTGTGTCATCTCGTCCTTTATTCTATTAGTTTCCTGCACATTCCAAATATTCCGTCATAAATGTCTGCCAGCGCACCAGACAACCTGTCTCCTCTTGCCTCACTTCCCGCGAGTGTGGAGAGCGTAGACGCTGGTGCTCTTGAACTTAGAGCCACGAGTGCCTGGACTTAGGATGACACTCTTGTCACCAGTGTAGAACAGAGTGAAAGCGTTCGCGCCGAGCCTCCTTCCAGCGGTCCAACTGATGAGTCTGGTTCTGATGAGTCTTGTGGCTGTTGGCCCTGTTGGGGAGGCATTGAATGTCCCCTTAGCTTCTAGTACCCCGTTAGTGTATAATGAGGGGAACGAATTAAGAGATTCACCTGAAGACGGTGAAGGACTTGGCTCAGTCGCAATGAGCATCAGTCCACATATAGTCCATAGTGATGGACATGAACGTTCAGCATCTAGCTACTCGAGGATGGGATTAATAGATAACTTAAGATGCATACATCCAATATTATTGAGTGGGTGCCTCGGAAGCCCCGATCAGTGGCAGCGCCTCACAAACCTCAATCCCGTCTGTACACTCGAGAGCCGGTCGGACTGGCTCATGGTCTCGTCTGGGTCATGGTTCATAGGATCTGGGTCAGCAAGGAAGTCATTATACGGTCGGCGCAGAACCTCTCCATACGTCATTTCAATGTAACCCGAGATGATGCACAGATGGGATACAGAGGGTAACGGACATTTGATAAAAGGGAGATACCGAGCAAACAAAGCCTCGTGAGGTACAGCACTTAACTCGGCGCGTAGTACGTACGCGTAAACGACAGAATTGCAACAGAAGGAATTCGATAAAATCATGACGGGTACGCTTCTTCGGGACAAGGTTGAAGGATGTTGGCGAGCCGCCTCTAACGCGGGCAAATTATGAAGGGATGTGAAATAATGGTCTTTGGGAATAGAAAAATTACGCAGGATCGTCGCTGACCACGGTGACATACCGTAGGAGCGCTAACATCGACCATCCGAGAAAGCTGATGACATGGTACTAGTGCAGGGTACGCATGAACCACTAGTAGGAGGAGAATCGGGGTGGGGCGTTGGTGAGGAGAACAATGAGGAACTTCGAGAGCGAAGACACGGAAATATTATTCGGAATTTCGGCAGGTAATCGGATCAATTCGTGTCACGTATTAGGATATCGGGGACGTTACAAAGCTAAATACAAATATTAGATACATAGCTACCAGATCTTGCGATACAATGTAAAAGTTGTAGGACAAATCGAAAGAACACACACGCACAATGGCTGCAAATCAGTACACACCGAGCCCTATGAAGATTCCTTGCCCCTAGATCCAATATTCCTTCCCCAATTCGTTATACCCCGGCTCAATCTGGCAGCAACTCTCCCCAGTCTCGATGTCCGACGAGGGGGAGGCGGGGGCGGTACCACATCCATCTCCATGAATGATCTTATAGTCGACTCTGGGTTCTCCGGGTACGGATATAGCTTTGCATCGCGCTCCTTCAGGCGCGCATTGATGGGACCGGTGTCAACCCGAAGCGGCTTACGATGGTTCCGATGCTCTGTCACATCGGCCATGGGGCTCGAGAAGTGACGTCCGTGTCCAGAACGAGGGTCCGTAAGACGAGCGGCGACGCTGGAGTGGTGCTTGCGCTCTCGTGAGGTAGTGAATGGAGATGGTCTTCGGGTTTCTGAAGGCGCATTAGCTTTACTGGACTTCCGCGACTGCGAATTGTGCGCCTTGAGCCTTGACAAGCTAGCCTCAAACCTGTCGAGTGCCGAAACAGGTCTCACAGATTCGGAGGGAGGTGGTAGAGGTGGAAGCGGCGGCGGATCTCTCGTAGGTATATAGGAAGTGCATAAATCAACCACGCCACTAGGCACAGCATGCATGACTTGTTTCTCCACGTTGAAGATCTGTCCGCGGCGCCTTAGGTTGCTATCGGTAGACCTGGACTTGCGAGGGCTTAGTTGTCGGTCCGGAACCAAGTCGTCGCAGGAATCCGCCGAATAGGCTTCATTCGAGGTAAGCGCTACGATGACAGGTACATCCATCGGCTTGGCAGCTACCGCATATTCACGAATGGAAGGATTGCTGTCCGGGACTAAACCGGAGGTTACTGAATGTCGAGGTGCGATGTCAAGGGGTCGATCCACACGGTGACAGGAACCTGTCGAAGTCCTGTCGCACACGTTGGCACCGTCTGGGGGGACAGACTGATAAGACGAACGTAGACCCAGGATCTGTGAACTTTCATGACTATCGTGGATCAATCGACCCAGTGTATCAAGCCCTGGAGGTGTGGATGCGATCGAGGACTGGCCTTCCACCGTTGACGCTTCAAGCGGGATGCCCACCATCTCGCTAACTTCGTGAAGAAGCATGCTGCAGGACGCGGAATCTCCAACATCGTCCTCAACTTCTGCAGCCTCCCATGAATAATCATCATCGCTCTGAGTACCTGGGGCTTCATCTTCAATCATCTGCAGCTTCGATGAAGACTTCTTCACCCTCTTGTTTGAACCCCATATCCTCAAAAATTCCCTAACGGCAGTAGTTTCGTCCTCAGAGAAAAGGTTACAGACCTCTGAACGTGAAGGTGGGGGTAGGATGTCATGACTCAGCGGAGATGGGGGAGAGGAAGACAAAGGTGTTGTCGGCAAGTCCTTTGCAAGATACGTGGGAAAATCGTCATAGATAGGGTCCTTTGATGGGACAGGCTCTCCAAAGTCCCGGCAAAAACGACGAGACTTGCGAACGTCGAGTTCATGCCCTGAACTGTGACCATGCTTTGATGGCGCACAGCTTGCCGCGGTCAATGGTATTGGTGTTGGAGTCTCTGTCAGGTGTATTTCGTCGGGAAGAGGCGGATTAGCCCCATCAGCCAGGTAACTGATTGGAGATTCCGTGAGTATTGTGTTTTTCATACCCTTCCTGTCTCTCTCTCCGAAAAGATCCAGTCGTCGAGGATCGCCTCGAGATAAACGGACCAGCGCGCGAGTGCCACTGCCCGATTTTGAATCTGGTTCATAGAATTCGGAAAGGAATGCGGTAATAGGTGTCACCTCAGGAGATGCGATAGTGGTCGACGGTGAGTAAAAGAGTTCGGGGGTTATGGGTGATAGTTGTTCTTGGGTGCGAGAACTTACAGACCAAGACAATGTGCTGCAAATATACAAAGCGATTTTTAGTGTTGAATACAACCCCATCTGGAATACACGAACCTGTAAGTCGATGTGGGAGAGAGAGTCGGTACCGAGGAGACAGGGTGGTCAGACGACCACGATGTATGTGATGCATCTGAGGGTAAGCGGGCGTGGATGGGGAAGGATGAAGAGCCTTGGCGCCGTGACACAATATTGTCGCTGTTTGGAGGTTGATCATAGGAATGCGAACGTAAAACTCGCCGGGACGGTCTGGAGCAGGGTTGTCCCTGCATTGATTGAATAACAAGATTAGTCGGCGACATGCCAGACGAGAAGCGTTGATGATAGAGTAGAGGTGTTCAACTTTAATCATCATCATCATCAGGAAAGATCCCAATGCTAGCAATTGGGAACACTCACATAGTCAACAGAACGTACGAACGGACTAGACTACGATAGAAATATGTTAGGCTGCAACAGAAACTTGTATCGTGTGCACTGCAGGAGGACATGAACTTGTGGCCTTTGAAACGAATCAGTTTTGTTGGCGCACCGAATTGCAGGGGTGATTGGAATTCAATTAAATGCCGTGCCGTCAAGCAATGCAGCCTCGTCTTCAATCCAATGAGACGAGTGCAAGGACAAAGGAGACTGGCGGCACCGTTGGGACACGCTTTATATTAAATCTTTCTCTACTGGTCCCGCCGTGCCCGCGCGATGGTTCGGAAAGCCTGCCTATTGTTACTCGGAGGCAGAGCACCGAGTCACTGTGCTCCGATAAGTAAAAAAAATATTATCACCCCTAGTGCTGCGCTGTACTGGCTCGGGAAGGATGACCGTTGAGGAGCAAATACAAAATTGGATAGTCGTGGTCATGATGCGATACTCGCACTCGGTCACTGAGCCTGTTTACATAAATGTCATTCTGTAGCTGAAACTGGGCATGTGCATGGACAGTCCTGCAATGCTAAGCTGCTCGTTGCGTGAATCATGGGACGAGGACTCGGAATTGCCTTTGATGATCGGTGATCGATCGGTAATGCTGGCAACAGTACTTCGGGCCTGCATGAATAATGTCTCCTGTGGCCAGCTGCTGCAAGTTGGACCTGATGAAATAGAACAGATGATCAAGCAGGTTGCCTCAGCCATCCCGAAGCACAAACCCAGATGATGCTCAATCGTGGCAAGGCCCTTGAGGTCGGTCACAAAATTCTGTTCAGGTTTTTTTTTTGGTACAATTTTGAATTACATAAGCAGCCAATAGCCGAACCTCGCAATGAGATTATCATCGGCGGTGTTTATGGAAAACATGCATGGGCATATGATTTTTCAGGAATACATGATAGAAACCGTGCCAGACCTACAACTAGTACGCCTTCTTGCCAGCTGTAAGCTGTAGGTGAGCACTGTGCTCGTCATAAGGCACTTTTGATACAGGAATCTCGCGCCATAGGTCAGGAGTAAGGAACGCGTAAGTTTTCGTAATCTAGAATAGATGTAAGCGAAACACAATGAAAAAGTTCGAATACACATACAGCAGCAAATGTGGCCTTCAAGAAATTACCCATTGTTGCAGTCGAGCCCTTCGACTGCGTGTAGCAATCCTCAACACCAGCAAGCTGAAGCAGACGCTTTGATGCAGGAGCAGCAACAATACCAGTACCACGAGGAGCAGGGATCAGTCGGCACATAACGGAGCCGACCTTTCCGCTGACCTTTGATGGCACAGTGTGAGGCTCACCAAGGGCTGCACCCCAGTAACCTCTTCGCACGGGAATGACAGAGAGTTTAGCGAGGATGATAGCGCCCCGGATGGCAGTTGCAACTTCTTTCGCGCACTTCACACCCAATCCGACATGTCCGTCAGAGTCACCGATGGCAACAAAGGCCTTGAAGCGGGTACGCTGACCGGCACGGGTCTGCTTCTGCACGGGCATGATCTTCATAACCTCATCCTTGAGTTTGGGCAGGAAAAAGTCGACGATTTGGTATTCCTTAACGGGGAGGGAAAAGAGGTAGATCTCTTCCATGGATTTGATTTTACCGTCTTTCACCAGACGGCCGAGTTTAGTAACGGGAGCCCTGCGAGACCATATGTTATAGGCCGAGCGCAAGGAGAAAATGGAGGAATACAGACCACTCCTTTTCCTCATCCTTGCGGCCTCCTCTGCGGGGACCGCGACGTCCTCTGCCTCTGTCGCCTCTTCCACGTCCAAATCCACCACGTCCGCGTGCTGCGTCAGCCATTATGTATTTGCCGGAATTTTACTGTGCAGATGATAGTTAGTACTTGAAGTCACTAAGAAACGAACGAAGCCAAGAGAGGTAGCACGAGACCAGGAGAGGTACATCTGATAGTGTATCGATGCATCCATCCAAAATACGATTATTTGACGTCCGCCATGCAGAACCATCTGGATACTCAGCCGCGTGCAAGGGAATGGGATTGAACTCACATCTCGAAGGTTCGGCGGTGTTGGGCTCGCTGTCGATGGTAGTGTCACCGCTGTGTATCCTGCAATGCAGCCGCAAAAGCCCTGCCCTGAAGCGGTAATATGACCCCCCCTGACACGTTTGATTTACACTGTGCAAGTGCAACACGTTCTCATCACACAATTCTAGCTCGAGAATATGATCTTCGTACTCCAATTTTGTCGAGATGGCTTAATCAGTGAAATGCATCCCAGGCCAGGTGCTTACAACCTGCGAGATAAGTACTAAGTGACCGGGGGGGTTGTGGAGTGGCAAAGCGGTGCTGATGATAAATACAAGCACCGTAGGTGAATTCATCCCACGCAACTCTTACAAATTCCAAACGCTACCTGCTGTAAGTACTCATTTCTTTCCTTGAGTCTCTAGTCAAACCTGACTTTTTAGCGTTACTTCTCACCTACGTAATAGTTTTCTAACCCCAGTCAAGTTGGCAGAACATGTCGAATCCATCCATGTCCAATTTTTTGAAACAGCAATTTAGTATTTGCCCCGCGTATGCTCTTCACCCTCTTTCGTGTTTGACTTTGAGCTGATTGTGGTATCCAGCAACGGCTGTCAAGCCGTTGGGGATGGGGCTTTCTCTGCTGACATTACTCCTAGTGTACTTGCCGTCTGCCACATGCAGGGCACCGACGACGTGTACTACTACTCTACTACCTTCTCTGGTGGACCCGGGGTAAGTTATCCATGTCATCATTGATGTCAAACACTGAGACTTTTCCAGTGGCGCGTTTGACGTCCCTAACGCTAAATGCCCTCCCGACAGAGGGTCGTCAGACTGTGTGACAGGCAGTCCGGCGTCTTCAATTTCTTCTTTCTCAAATTACTCATCGTCTCCCAACACATCCAATGTTTCACTTATGCACCCATCGTACTCGTCCTATTCATCTACGGTTCCGCCTCGTGACATTCCTATCAGAACGGATTCGCCCTACGACATTGCCACCCCGCCTTTGACACCAGATGACGATGAAGATAGCTGTGCCACTGGTATACTTACCAAGCATTCTAAAGATGCTTTGGATCTTCTTTTGGCCATCTTTCCTCGTGATGGATTGAGCCTTTTGCCTTTTGCTAAGAGCGTTGTCGTTGCCGCCCCAAATATGGGTGCTTCTTTCGATGGTGTGGTGCTCGAACTCCCTGGAAAGACCAAAACACTTTACGTCGATGGCAAGAACGCTCAAGCAGTATCTCTTCGCGAAAGGTGCGTTGCTTTTTAGAATCTAATGTCGGTGCTTACATGACCACCGTAGCATTGTGGCTCTCCTCGATTTGGCCGACGAACAACTCCAGTGCTCAGCTTTGATCATCGCATTCAACAAGGTTTCCCACGGTCTGAGCGAACTGTTACATTCACTCATGTACGTTGGGGGAAGCGTTGTTACTAAACCACCATTCCAGGTTGATCCTACGTACATCCTCGTCGGTGTAGAGATTTAGGTGGACGGTCAAGGGAATGTGGACCAACTTTATGTGGTAGGAGTGGGCATTATATAGGACTAAATTGTTTCTCCATTACTGTATGCAATCAAATGACTGCTTTCTGGCTGTTCAAATGTACGCTGGTATTGCTAACCTGTCACATACTATGATCGGAGAAGACGGACTATTGGTTGAATGTCTTTGAGGCGCCAGAAGCTTATTATGGAAGGTCGAGTTGACATGCTCAGGCTGGGCTTATCATATTCTTCTTCATTTCAATTACTAGCTATATCATGGGATTACTCGACTTTCTTTTCTCCATCGTCAAAGCACTTTGTGGAGAGTCGTCTCAGCCAGAAAGTGAAAAGCCTACTGGTGCACAGAGACCACCGCGACCACAGGAGCCACTATCTCCTCTTCCAGGCGCTTGGCCTACTCCCCAACAGGATCGTTTAAGATACCAAGTAAGCCCAGTAGGCTGCGAGTAGTTCGCATATCGTAAAGTTCACTTAACGGTTGGTTTGTAGGACCGAAACCAAGCCAATCAACAGAATGAACACTACACGTCTCTGCGCGCCAAAGCAAACCAAGAAGGAGACGCTATGGCTAAATGCTTCCAACAAAGCCACGATGCGTATTCTCGTCGTGAGGGTGCGCTAGCTAAGGAACTCTCAGAGAAGGGCAAAAAACACGAACGTACCATGGAAGCATTGAACGCGGAGGCTAGTGCATGGATATTCCGAGGTATGGCATGCTCAGTCACTTTGTGTCGGTCTGGCTTGACATTGGTATCGCACAGAGAACAATTCGGTTCGTCACATGCTAGTGATCATTGAGCTCGGCCTTGACTCTGATACTTCTATAATGCAAACAGGACCGCGAGCCGGGCGAATTAGATCTGCACGGACTGTACGTCAAGGAAGCCATAACATACTCGGATAAAGCTATCAAGGAGGCTCGACAGCGGGGGGATTCACAGATCCGCCTCATTGTTGGTACGTGATATATTGAACTTTGACTACGGTACAGAACTCATACATCAAGAATGCAGGCAAAGGCCTGCACTCCAATGGCAACGTCGCTAAAATCAAACCTGCCCTAGAGGACTTGATGAAACAGTACGTATGGTTTGTGGGTCCTTCTCTGCCTATTACCTAAACTATTTGTCAAAGGCTCAATCTTCCTGTTGAAGTGGATCCACAAAATGCAGGCGTTCTGATCGTACAGCTTGCTTGATCATCCAGTGTGACATGTACCTTTTGTGGCCACTGAATTACCCGACGGATCTGATTCGATGTATTACGGCCGCAATAACTTTTTCGCCTCCCATTCAAACATGCGATTCTACGGAACAAAGATATGGTATTGCTGTATGTATAATATGTATCTGTTTCCATGTATACCACTGTGACATAACCTCTAATGCTATCGACATGAGGTTGACATGAGGCGGCGCTTTGACGGTCAGGGTTCCCACTAGTTCTCAACAATCATAATAGGTCCTTTGTTTGTCTCTGTCCCCCACATCATCATCATCATCATGGAGACGTTATACATCATCGGCGGACTAGTGATCCTTGTGGCTCTAATAGCCTTGATCGATGTCTCCCCGCAACTACAGCTACCACCACCGCCACCGCCACCCTTAGGTGTACTATGTTCACCATCAGATTCACCCTATGTACCTACTTTCTCGCAGCAAGGGTCATCCCACCAGCCATCCCAGCCCCAGCTCCCGCCTCCACGTCCAGCAATCCGATATCCCCAGACCCCTTCAAAATATTCTACACTTCAAGCGCCTGGGAGTTCGCAGCTCTCGCCGTATCAGCCTCCTCTGCCGAGCGCACAATACCTCCCATCAGCCACCACCCCCCTTTTATCTCGTCCTGCCTCGGTGCCCAAGCCCGTCTGTTACACCCCTCAGGTCTGTCCTAGCGTGTTACATCTGCTGTTTACTCACCTCTTCGACACACAGCAGCCACGTCGTCCTGTCGCAAGAGTCACAAGAGTACCACGGGTAGTGCCTGTGGTGATCGATTCCCATGAACGTTCTGCTGCGAAAGCGCCAGAGGCACCTGTAGCGCATGTAGTAATCGACCCTTATGAAGACCCCGAGTCTCTTCGTCTCAAAGCCACACAGGAGGGAGATCGGATGGGGAAATGCTTCAAGGAGAGGAACGAAGCGAAAGCTAGGAATGACCAACAGCGTATTAAAGAGCTTACTCAAAAGGGTGAGGCACACAGAGCAAATATGATGCTTCTGGACAAGGAAGCCAGCGCAAAGATATTCCAAGGTACGAAATCGATCAAAGGAACGTGCAGGATACAAGAAGCTTACTCGGACCCCTGCCTCGTACAGAGAATAACCAAGTTTGTTGTGTTCTCGTCATGGGCGGCGCTGTCTGACTTTTCTTAGAACCGCAGAAATGAAGTTGATCTCCACGGACTCTATGTCGCAGAAGCCAAAACCTATTTCGACACTTCTGTTCAAGCAGCTTGGGACCGTGGAGAATCATCACTTCGTGTGATCGTAGGTAAGACACAATGACACTTTTCAACTTCGTTCTGCGACAGTGAAACTGTTCAGGAAGGGGAAATCACTCCAAGAGCAACATCCCGAAGATCAAACCTGCAATCCAGGCTCACGGGGAAAGGTACGCACATCGCAGTACGCGTCTTTGTAAGTTTTCTCAAACAGGTATGTCGTGTAGTTTGGGATTGTCGATTGAAGTGGACCCTCGCAATGAAGGCTGCCTTATTGTAAGTCTTAAGTGAACTCACTGAATGCCGATTTTCCTGTGATCTCCATGTGCCTCGCAACTGTACATAAACTACTGCTCGCCTCTTTTCATACCAAAGTCTGCAAATGTACTACAATTACATAACCAATGCATAAATTCTTACAACCCCGACATAATTAATTACTGCGCCGGCAGTGACTTATCGACGTATCCAGGACCATCCTTACTTCGCTTGCACAACTGCAGACTCGGAGCCTATATGCTTTTAGCAAAACAACGCGGTCCATGCGCACCATGACGGTGCGGCACTAGCCAACTTGAAGGAACTATCTGTGAAAAAGGCAAGTAGTACGAACCTACTGTGGAAGCTGCAGCAACATACTTACTAGTGATGGAGATTAGATGGGTATTCGCATATCCGCCTCATTGTTAATATGTGATATAATAACCTCTGACGGTATCAACACGATGTTGACGTGAGGCGGCGCTTTGACGGTTAGGGTCCCCACTAGTTCTCAACCAGGGCCTTTATTTGTCCTTGTCCCCCACATTATCATGGAGACGTTATATATCGTCTGTGGACTAGTGGTCCTCGTGGTTCTAATAGCCCTTGGCGTCACCTTGTTCAAAGGCTCCCCGCCAGCGCAGCCACCATTCTCGGGTGTATGTTCACCATCAGATTCACCCTATGTGCCTACTTCCTCTCAGCGAGGGTCATACCACCGTCCAGCAATCCGATATTTCCGGACCCCTTCGGGATATTCTACACTTCAAGCGCCTTCGCAGCCCTCGCCGTATCAGCTTCATCGCCTGCCGAGCACACAATACCCCCCATTAGCCACCACCACTCCTTCAAGTTTATCTCGTGATGCTTGGGTGCCCAAGCCCGTCTGTCACACCCCTCAGGTCTGTTCTAGCATGTTACATCTGCTGTTTACTCACCTCTTCGACACGTAGCAGCCACATCGTCCTGTCACAAGAACGCCGCTGGTAGTGCCTGTGGTGATCGACCCCCGTGAACGTCCTACTGCAAAAGCGCCGGAGGTACCTGTAGCGCGTGTAGTAATTGACCCCTACGAAGATCCTAAGTCTCTTCGTCTCAAAGCCACACAGGAGGGAGATCGGATGGGGAAATACTTCAAGGAGAGGAACGAAGCGAAAGCTAGGAATGACCAACAGCGCACTAAAGAGCTTACCCAGAGGGGTGAGGCACACAGGGCAAACATGCTGCTCCTGGACAAGGAAGCCAGCGCAAAGATATTCCAAGGTACGAAATTAAGAAAAGGAACGTGCAGAAGCTTACTCGGACCCCTGCCTCGTACAGAGAATAACCAAGTTTGTTGCGTTCGTGTCAAGGGCAGCGCTGTCTGACTTTTTCCAGAACCGCAGACATGAAGTCGATCTCCACGGACTCTATGTCTCAGAAGCCGAATCGTATTTTGACACTTCTGTTCAAGGAGCTCGCGACCGCGAAGAATCGTCACTTCGTGTAATCGTAGGTAAGATACAATGATACCTTTGAACTTTGCTCGGTGACAGTGAAACTGTTCAGGAAAGGGAATTCACTCCGATAACAACATCCCGAAGATCAAACTTGCAATTCTGGCTCACGCAAAAAGGTTAGCATATTGCAGTGTGCGTCTTTGTAGGTTTTTCTGAACCAGGTATGTCGTGCAGTTTGGGATTGCCGATCGAAGTGGACCCTCGCAATGAAGGCTGCCTTATTGTAAGTCTTTGCTGAACTCCCTGAATGTAAACTTTCTTGTGATCTCCATGTGCCTCGCAACTCGTGTACATAAACTACTGCCCGCTTCTTTTCATACCAAAGTCTGCTCAAGTGGGGAGATGTACGATTAACTAATGTAAATTCTGACAACAGTACATAATTATAACTGCACACCGATACTGGCAGTGACTCACCCTTACCTCGCTTGCACAAGCGCAGAGCCTATATGCTTCTAGCAGAACTTAATGCGGCCCATGCGCACCATGACGATGCGCTAGTTGATTTGAAGGGACTCGGAAGAAGGCAAGTAGTACGAACCTACTGTGGACTCAGCTCAGCCACGTGCTAGTGATGATTCTAGAAGCACTCAAAGATGATAGTAATGCGAACAGGGTGGTCAGCCAAGCGAATTGGACTCTACGCCAACTTGAAAGAAGACATTAACCATCAAGGAAGCTCCGCGGTCACTGCGGAGATTCGAATATTCACAGATTCTTTGATTGTTAGTACGTACGTGATATGGGTATGGTACAGAATTCATACTAAAGGCCAATATTGCGGCAAAGGCTTACACTCATGGGTCCGACAGAATTATGATCCGGGTCCATCTCGCTAGCATCAAAGCAGCTCTAGAGGACTTGATGAGACGGTATGTACTATATACTTATGGAGTGCTTCCCACTTATTAGCTAAACCATTTGTCAAAGGCAGTACCAAGATTCTTCCAATAGTACTGATGTGGACCCACAGGCGTTCTGATTCAAGGTACTGTGGGCACATCACGCGCTCGCCTCTGATCAGAATTTCATTCTATGCACACTGGTGTGACATAACTTCTGATGATAAGCCGTCCGCATGGGACGGCGCTTTGACGGTCAGGGTTCTCCCTTGATTCATGCATTATTTTAATCGCGGAATATAGATGTCGGCGTAGCGCTCGTTGTACCACTCGAATTTAACTATCATGATCAATCAAACCTTTGATTCGTTTCCATCCCCCACTGCATCATGCAGAAGTTCATCGGCACTGTATCATCAGCCCTCAAGGCCCTATTGAAGGGCCCAGCTTGGTTGCTATGGACACTATTCTCCATATTCAAGAGCAAGTCCCGGCCACCGCCGGTACCATCCTTTGAGTTACCTTCACTATCTGATTCACCATACGAAAATGCTCGCTCGTACCCGCCGCCACGTCCAGCGGCCGAACACCGTCAACCTCCCTCCGCTCATCAACCACCTCCCGCTCATCGATCCCCTGCCACTCAGCGATCTCCTTCTGCTCATCAAACCCCTTCTGCTCATCAACCTCCTTCCGCTCATCGATCCCCTTCCACTCATCAACCCCCTTCCACTCATCGATCTCCTTCCGTTCCTCAACCTCCTTTTGCTCATCAACCCTCTTTCTCTCATCAATCTCCTTCCGCTCATCAATCACCCACACCCCATCAGCCTCGTCGCAAACCGAGCGTACGATTCCCTGCACAACCTACGCCCCTCGTATCTCCTGATGTTGCTCCGGTGAACGAGCCTGTTCGAAGTGACATCCCTCAGGTCTGTGACAGTATGATCTATCTGGCAGTACTGTCTACTCACCTTTTCGACACAGCGGTCACGTCGTCCTTCTGGACCCGACTTACCTACAAGAACTCCAGAGATTGTTGTGACGCCCATTGTGATTGACCCCTACGAAGATGCCGATTCTCTTCGTCGCAAAGCTAGGATTGAGGGAGATCGCATGGAAAAATGTTTCAAGCAGAGCCAAGAAGCGTATAATGACAAAAATGGAGGGCGCGCTAAAGAGCTTTCTTTGAGGGGTGAGGTGTACAAAGACAACATGAGGCGCTTGGATAAGGCGGCCAGCACGAAGATATTTGAAGGTATGAGAGTGATGAACAGACCGTGCAGAATTTGCCAACTTACCTTCAGCTTCATCCAGAAAATAATCAAGTTCGTTGTCGTTCTTATGATGCATGCCGTTGTTCGACGCTTTTCCCAGGGACTCGGGTTCGACACGATTGATCTTCACGGACTCTTTGTCTCAGAAGCCAAGTTGTACTTTGACGACGCTGTTCAAAAGGCTCGGAACCATGGAGAGTCGTTACTTCGTGTGATCGTAGGTAAGACATTCTATTACCATCTCAACTCCAGCAACAGGCTTCTTGTTGATCGCAAAATTGCTTAGGAATAGGAAATCACTCCGAAAATAACATCCCGAAGATCAAACCTGCAATTCAAGAACATGCGACAAGGTATGTGCATCTCGAACGTAACCCACAAGTTGATTCTCATTGTAGTATCATGCAGTCTGGGTCTAGACGTTGAAGTGAATCCTCTCAACGAGGGTTGCCTTGTTGTGAGTTTATGAGTCTTGATCTCAGCTAACTTGAACGGCAATTTTTGGCGACCCTCATCATGATGCACTCACATGAGTCCCACGTGCTTTTTGTGTTATCCTTCCCCTTTTCACACTCCAGTGTGTACTATGATACTATAACAAATGTTTTGGTATATTTCATTCTGTTCTGTCTACAGGAGACTGGTCTTGGTGTAGTGTATAACAATGTAGTGATGTGATGTATTCATCCCAACTTTGGTTACAAGACTCTGTCATCTCGCTCGAGTCCACATGTGTGCATTGCATTATCTCGATCTTACCATTGCAGTGGTTTTTGTTGGCATCTCATTGTCCATTAATGTGGATGGCCTCCCGCTGCGGCAGATTTTTAGACGGCCGTATGGCCCGTACTTTGAATCTCATCTTTATACTACTCATTGTACTGGCAGTATCTTTCGTCCGGTCGTGCGCACAGACGTTCTGACTTAAGGTACTAGGTGGGCACATCCAGCGCTCGCCTCTGATCAAAATATTGATCATGTGTCCATCTCATGCATACCACTGTGACATACTAACTTCTGATGATATGCTGACCGCGTGGGACGGCGCTTTGGAGGACTCTCCTCTGATTCGCGCGTATGTAACGTTAGATTTTCATCGTGGAATATAGATGTTGGCGTAGCGCCCGTTATACTACTCGAGTCCAACTGTCGACCAGGCCTGTGATCTGTCTCCATTCCCCACTCCATCATGCAGATGTTCATCCCCTCTGTATTATCAGCCCTCGAGGCCCTATTGAAGGGCCCAACCTGGTTGCTACGGATAGTAATATCCAAATTCTTTGGCAGGAAAAAGCCCCCGCGACCGTCAATACAACCCCGGACTGCAATATCCGAGTCTGATTCACCATATGAAATCACTCACTCGCAACGTCAGAGATCATTTGAGCGCACCCACTCGCAGCAGCAAGGATCAACTCACCACTCGTACCCGCCGCCACTGCGTCCAGCGGCCGAATATGGTCAATCCCCCTCCGCTCATCAATCTTCTTCCGCTCGTCAATCCCCTTCCGCTTATCGACCCCCTTCCACTCCGAGTCATCAACCCTCTTACACTCATCAATTCCCTTCCGCTCCCCAACTACCTTCGCAGCACACACCCTATCAGTCTCATCAATCGAGCGTACGACTACCTGCACAACCTACTCCCCCCATATCTCCTGATGTTCCTCCGGTGAAAAAGCCTGTCCGAAGTGACATCCCTCGGGTCTGTCATAGCATGATCCATCTGGCAGTGTTGTCTACTAACTTTTTCGACACAGCGGTCGCGTCGTCCTTCTAGACCCAAATTACTTACAAGAACTCCAGAGGATGTTGTGACGCCCATTGAGATTGATCCCCATGAAGATGCCTATTCTCTTCGTCTCAAAGCCAGAGATGAAAGAGATCGTATGAAAAAATGCTTCAAGCAGAGGGATAAAGCGTCTGCTGACAACAACGAAAGGCTCGCTGAAGAGCTTTCCTGGAGAGGTGACGTGCACAAAGACAACATGATGCGCTTGAATAAGGAAGCCAGCACGAAGATATTTGATGGTATGAGACTGATCGACCGACCGTGCAGGATTCGCCAACTTACCTCCAGCCTCATCTAGAGCATAATCAAGTTTGTTGTCGTTCTTATGATACACGCCACTATCCAACACTTTACCCAGAGACCCAGGTCCGACGTGATTAATCTCCGCCGACTCTTAGTCTCAGAAGCCAAGTTAGCCTTCGCCAAGGCTGTTCAAGAGGTACAGAACCGTGGAGAATCGTCACTTCGTGTGATCGTAGGTAAGACACTCCATCACCGACTCAACTCCAGCAATAGGTCTTTTATTGATCGCAAAATTGCTTAGGAAGGGGAAAACGCTCCGACAATAACATCGCGAGGATCAAACCTGCAATTCAAAAATATGGGAAAAGGTATGTGCATCGTAAATGTATCCTCACAAGTTGGTTCTCATCGTAGATGTCATGCAGATTGGGTCTGCGCGTTGAAGTGGATCCTCTCAATGTTGGCCGCCTTGTTGTGAGTTGGTGAATTTTAATTCCAGCTAACTTGAACGGCGATCCTCATCATGACGCACTCACACGTGCTTTTTTATGTTATCCTTCCCCTTTTTATACCCGAGCATGTACGATACCGGAATTTTTTGGTATATATACTTCATTCTATTTTGTCTATAGGAAACTGGTTTTGGTACAATGTAGTGATATGATGCAAGTACGGTAGTCTCATAGCTCCAATATTAATTTACAGACCGGAACGGAACGGAACCCAAAGGAACGCCTGTCAGTTCAATGAACTTGAATCAAAGTCACTGGCTCAAGGCGGACATCCTGGCAGTGGCTGGCCAGCACACATCATCCAATCTTCCGACGCCTACTGCACACTGATGCAGCGAGCGCCCACTTTTCAGAGTCGTTCTCGAGTGCACACCCTCTTTATCTTACAGCGAAGCTCTCGTTCGTACGCGTCCAAAAGTGCCAATCCCTATCCCTATCCAACGCAAACAAATCCTCAGCCGCACCAGATTTTCCATTTACCGCGAAGTGCAAACCAGGAGGATGTGAAACGGAGATGCACGTATCATCTTATATCACTGCCCTCGTACGACCTTTAGTAACACAAAGCAGATTATGAACTCGTCCGAATTTACCACCCGGACTCGGCTGTCGCTCGTCATTATCCCTCTGAGGAGTCGCAGGCACGATTTCAAGCTATTTCTAGAGCGTACGACATACTTCGAGGAAAAGCATCTGTTTCTGGTGAACCGGTCGAAGCTGCTCATAAAGTGGATCCGATACGATGGTCAACTAGGTCGCATCGTCCTCATTTCGACGAAACAGCTAGTGATGAGCGGTGGAAAGAGAGAGTAATCATGGGTACCGTATTACTAGTGAGTGATCTTATGTTCTTACCCAAAAATTTATGACGACTCATCATCAATTTGTTCTAGACTTTAGCTGCCTTTGTCGCACAGACCAGTTGGACTCGCCGGCAGGCTATTGCAGAAATGTCAAGTCATAGACAGCCTTCCCATCCAAGCAAAAAGTCAGGGAATGACGATGGCGCTCTTGCTGTAGACTAAGAAGATGGGTCGCTAGAAGGCAGCCTTGACTGCAGCCAGGGAGGTCACGGTTTTCGTGGCAGGCGGTGACTATCGCACTGTCCTCTGTCTCACCACTCCTCTTATCAATGACCACTACCGCGGTGTACAACGGGTGTTTCCTGCGCACATGTACATATTGGTTGTCGACAGTCTATGCATTGCATTGGATGTGCCCAGTTACTCCGATCAGTCTGCCAACCCTGTTCAAACGTACAATGACAGGGCTGGTGCGGTAGTACATTCGTTGCTTGGTGTCCAGTATGTACGCTAGTCCTTCGATTAGGGTTGAGCAAATAGCTGGAGGGGATATGAATGAGGACAAATTGCAGGTCGCACCGAGGTCCTTGGAAAACAACATCAGGGATATTCATTGGCCATGTAAGCGATATAGGCCGTCCTGTATATGAGAAGTTCTGACGAACACAAAGGCGACGGTTTCGTTATTTTTTTTTGATATTAGCATCGCACAAAGAGCAATTTGGTTTCTCCCATGCTAGTGATCATTGAACTCGGCCGGTTTCTGATATTTCTATAATGCAAACAGGACAGCAAGCCAAGCGAATCAGATCTGCACGGACTGTACGTCAAGGAAGCCATGCCATACTCGGATAAAGCTATCACGGAGGCTCGGCAGCGGGGGGATTCACACTGTGATCCGCCTCATTGTTGGTACGTGATATATCGAACTTTGACTACAGTACAGAACTCATACATATCAAGGATGCAGGCAAAGGCTTGCGCTCCAATGGCAATGTTGCTAAAATCAAATCTGCCCTATAATAAAACAGTACGTATGGTTTGTGGGTCCTTTCTACCTATTAGCTAAACTATTTGTCAAAGGCTCAATCTTCCTGTTGAAATGGATCCACAAAATGCAGGCGTTCTGATCGCACAGCTTGCTTGATCATCCAGTGTAATCTCTCTTGAATTCGATGTACTGTGGCCTCAATGACCCTTTCTCCTCCTATTCAAATGTGCGATTCTGTGGAACAAAGATATGGTATCCATGTACTTAGTATGTATAATATCTCTCTATCTCCATTTATACCACTGTGACATAATAACCTCTGACGTATCGACATGAGGTTGACGCGAGGCGGCGCTTTGACGGTCAGGATTCCTAACTATCACAACAGGGCTTTTATTTGTCTTTGTCCATCATGGAGACCTTATACATCGTCTGTGGACTAGTGGTCCTCGTGGTTCTAATAGCCCTTGGCGTCACCTTGTTCAATGTCTCCCTGCCAGCGCAGGTACCATCCTTGGGTGTATGTTCACCATCAGATTCACCCTACGTGCCTACTTTCTTGCAACAAGAATCATACTACCAACCACTACATCACCAGCTTCCGCCACCGCGTTCAGCAATCCGGTATCCCCAGACCCCTTCAGGATATTCTACACTTCAAACTCCCTCACAGCCTTCACCGTATCAGCCTCATCGCCCGCTGAGCGCACAATACCCCCCATTAGCCACCACCACTCCTTTATCTCGTGATGCTTCGGTGCCCAAGCCTGTCTATTGCACTCCTCAAGTCTGTCCTAGCATATTGCATCTGCTGTTTACTCACCTCCTCAACACGTAGCAGCCACATCATCACCGACCGAGCGTACGATTCCCTACACAACCTACGCCCCTCGAATCTCCTTATGTTGCTCTGGTGAACGAGGCTGTTCAAAGTGACATTCCTCAGGTCCGTCATAGCATGATGTATCTGGCAGTGTTGTCTACTCACCTTTTCGACACAGCGGTCGCGTCGTCCTTCTGGACCCGAATTACTTACAAGAACTCCAGAGGATGTTGTGATGCCCATTGAGATTGATTCCCATGAAGATGCCGATTCTCTTCGTTTCAAAGCCAGAGATCAAAGAGATCGCATGAAAGAATGTTTCAAGCAGAGGCGTGAAGCTGACAAAAACGGAGGGCGCGCTAAAAAGCTTTCCCTGAGGGGTGAGGCGTACAAAGACAACATGAGGCGCTTAGATGAGGCAGCCAGCATGAAGATATTTGAAGGTATGAGAGTGATGGACAGACCGTGTAGGATTCGCCAACTTACCTTTAGCCTCATCTAGAGCATAATCAAGTTTGTTATCGTCTTTATGATACACGCCGCTGACCGATGCTTTCCAGAGACTCAAGTTCGACACGGTTGATCTCCACCGACTCTTTGTCCCAGAAGCCAAGTTGTACTTTGACAAGGCTGTTCAAGAGGTTCGGAACCATGGGGAATCATCACTTTGTGTGATCGTAGGTAAGACATCATCCATTGCATACTCAACTCCAGCAACAGGTTTCTTGTTGATCGCAAAAAATTGCTTAGGAAGGGGGAAACACTCCAAAAATAACATCGCAAGGATCAAACCTGCAATTCAAAAACATGGGAAAAGGTATGTGCATCGCAAATGTATGCTCACAAGTTGATTCTCATCGTGGATGTCATGCAGATTGGGTCTGTGCGTCGAAGTGGATCGTTCCGATGTTGGCCGCCTTGTTGTGAGTTGGTGAATCTTAAAAGCTTAATCGCCCAGTGAGAAGTGGATATTTGGTGCACCCACGCAAAACTTGGTTAGCATCGGTGTCACAAAACATTGTGAGAACTTGGCAGATCAACCAGTTTTTGGGCCTTCGAGCTTCTAGGGAAAACGAAGCTAGTCAGGCTATGCGAGTACACTAGCTTAGCCAGTATTTATCTTTTTTTGGTTTAGCACAAATCGAGCAAGACAAGCTATGTGTGCAATTCAGCATGGGTTGGATCATAATGTACATGCACATCTATAGTACGAAAAAACAATTATTTAATAAGGGGCTCATTACTACGTCAAACACTTAACAACATCTCCGTAATAAAGACTGTTTACAAGTCTAACTCGAGTATGTACCATAACAAACGTTTTGGTATACTTCATTCTATTTTGTCTATAGGGGACTAGTTTTGGTGCTATGGTGCAAGTACAGTTGTCTCAAAGCTTCAAAGTATAAGATTCGACCGGATCGGAACGGGACCGAAAAGAACTGCCTGTTGGCGGCTTAAGCTGGCTGGCCAGCATATAGCATCCAATCTTGCGACGCCTACTGCACACTGATGCAGCGAGCGTCCAGGTTTCCAAGTTGTTCTCGAGTGCACACCCTCTTTATCTTACAGCGAAGCTCTCGTTCGTACGCGTCCAAAAGTACCAATCCCTATCCCTATCCAACGCAAACAAATCCTCAGCCGCACCAGATTTTCCATTTACCGCGAAGTGCAAACCAGGAGGATGTGAAACGGAGATGCACGTATCATCTTATATCACTGCCCTCGTACTACCTTTAGTAACACAAAGCAGATTATGAACTCGTCCGAATTTACCACCCGGACTCGGCTGTCGCTCGTCGTTATCCCTCTGAGGAGTCGCAGGCACGATTTCAAGCTATTTCTAGAGCGTACGACATACTTCGAGGAAAAGCATCTGCTTCTGGTGAACCGGTCGAAGCTGCTCATAAAGTGGATCCGATACGATGGTCAACTAGGTCGCGTCGTCCTCATTTCGACGATACAGCTAATGATGAGCGGTGGAAAGAGAGAGTCATCATGGGTACCGTATTGCTAGTGAGTGTTCTTATGTTCTTACCCGAAAGTTTACGACGACTCGTCATCAATTTGTTCTAGACTTTAGCTGCCTTTGTCGCACAGACCAGTTGGACTCGCCGGCAGGCTATTGCAGAAATGTCAAGTCATAGATGGCCTTCCCATCCAAGCAAAAAGTCAGGGAATGACGATGGCACTCTTGCTGCAGACCAAGAGGATGTCGATGGATCAGAAGGCAGCCTTAACTGCAGCCAGGGAGGTCACGGTCTTCGTGGCAGGCAGTGACCATCGCACTGTCCTCCATTTCACTACTCCTCTGATCAATGCCCATTACCACGGTGTACGACGGGTACCTCCTGCGCACATGTACTTGTTGGTCATCAACAATCTATGCATTGCATTGAATGTGCCCAGTTGCTTCAATCAGTCTGCCGACCCCGTCCAAATGCACAATGGCAGGGCAGGGACGAGTACATTCGTTGCTTGGTATCCACTACGTACGCCAGTCTTTTGATTAGGGTTGAGCAAGTAGTTGGGGGCGATAGGAATGAAGACAAATTGCAGGTCGCACCGACGTCTTCGGAAAGAAATATATTCATTAGCCATGTAAGCGATAGAGGCCGTCCTGGATATGGGAAGTTCTGACGAACACAAAGGTGACGGTTTCGTTATTTTGGATATTGAGAAATTTGTGCATCAACGATACACAACTCACAACTCATGTTGTGCTGGAAGGATACGGGAGAAGCAGATGTCGGATCTAGATGGTGACAGTGTGGCATACCGAACGTTGTACTCTATATGTGGGAGCAAACTAACAGCAGGCAGCGACACCTCCAGAAGACGTATCAAGCCTTGCACATCGATCGACCATAACTTCCAATATGGGTTCTTAGATCTAGACGATGTAAGTCTTTATTCGTGTTGCAGCAGGTTTTGTGTTATTAATATCTATCACGATTATGTCGTATACTTCCGGGCTATTGGTATTGCGTGCTCATCACCTCGATGCAACAGCCGCACCAAGCAAATATTCCCACTACATGCGGTATGCTCCCATATCAAGAAAATCACGACCCATCCCTTGTACATCTCACTTGACCGATTTTGTCTCTGTGGGATCCCGATTGTGGATGTCTCCGTGACACGATGTTAAAATGTGTACTTTTCCGAGGATCATCATACATTGCCTACAACGCAACATGATATGATCGGCAGGAGCTCGTCGAACACCAAATATTGTCTCAAATTCTTGTGCCTCAGCACGCCACTGGCACGAGCGTTCCGTTCAATAGCCCTGGTGACCTAGTTGCTCGGCGATTCTCACCAGATGTTTTCAACGATTAGATTCTCCTGCTTCCTGCTTCTTCCCCCCAGTGAATAACTTTAAATTACGATCATGAACCTTGGTAGGTCCGGTTGAAGCCAACTTTCACATGAAGCCAGAATACTCAACAAGGTGTGCTGGTGGATTCAGGCACTGCTTGATTACGCCATTCTGGATTTCTCCCTAGCTGCCATCCCCAATTTATCGACAAATCATATTTCTCATGTTATGTTTCGCAGGGCTAGCGGCGTCATATTAAATTTAGATCCTTTTATAACATCCATGACGTAGCATGGGCTCCTTATCTTTTGCGAGTACCGGTGAATTCACTCATTTCTTGTGAGTACCAGTGACACATGCATGTATATGGTAGCTCCGCTGATCTTACCGGTCACTTGTGTCGTATGACAGCGAGCAGGGTCGTGCGCGTGGTTGATATCTTCTTGATGGAATGTTGGGAAACTTCTAAATCTTAGGCAGGACTGCCTGAACCCGCACCCGAACCCGTTCACGACATCGCAAGGTACTTCCTCTCCTTCTTTGATTTATCCTTTACATGATTTGTGAACCCAGCATCCGAAAATGCACGTTTGCAAGGCACAGAAGAGCTTTTCGCAGGCACGCGGACCTTCAGTGACCCTGCTGCCAACACAATTGCTCGAGCCACCGAGCTTATAAAATCCTTACTAAGTTGACGGCCTGACTCACTAATAATAGGAGAGTTTTTAGTGAGCCACCGGAATTGAATTGAATTTTGGAGCATGGGAGGCATTTTGATGTGCGTCGCACTGGCTGCACGCGGTTGAGACGGTTGAACGTTTGAACGTTCGAACGTTGGTGCCACTCCACTGACGATAGAATTCCCTTTGTACCGCATAGACACATCCTTGTCGTGAATTTCCGTATCTTTAGTGAATTAACTCCCACTTGCCCGTCGCCCCCTGACGGCGGCAACGTCCGTTACATAACGTCAAGTTAACCTCGTGCGAAATTCATTCGACTCGTCTTCTGAAGTTCTGGTTGATCTAGGGCATGCTAACTATATGCGATTCTGCATAAATTTTTCTATGACCTTCTCCTTTTCCGTACATTTGACCTTTTCTGCTTCTTTTACACTGTGTACTACTTTTGTGTTTGTGTAAGCGCCCATCGAGAGTATACGCGTCAACTGTTAGTCTGGTCGCCAGTACACTCGCTATTCTCCCGCCTGAACTCCTCGGCCCGTCTTTTCACTGGCCTCCAGTACCATCCCGGTGACAGTGACTGCTGTGGTACTATCGCTTGTCTCGCATTGGGTGCGCAATCATGTTACTATGTAAACCCAACCAAAGTTTACCACAGTTTCCCTTTCATCCGGTCGTCTCCTCGTAGCATTTATTCCTACCCACATGTCTTCCACTCCGCGCATAATCCAGTGAAGAGGCTGAGCATTGCCATGGGTCCCATCGGCAATATAGACGAGGTACTGAATAAATGCACGTGGTGCACTGGCGTCAGAAGTCTCCTCTCTTCCGTGCCTTGAAGGCATCGTGTGCGCCGCTAGAAACCACGATGTTACGCTTTCTATTGCACCCCAAACGACTCCTAATGGCGCTCGCTTGTCGAGATGGCATCAGGAGCTGTCTTATCTCACGCACGCATAGGCACGCGTTGCATGGAAATGCTATCTATTATAACCCCATCAAGGAAGATTGAAGATTCTCGTCATCCATGTCATGGGTGCAAGGAGCAAGGCACACCGGAAAGAAATCGAAGAGTGCGGCGTATAGATTCTTCTCTCAAGGTTATTGATAGTACCCTTACTAGCACGCAGAGGTTTTGGGTAACGCCCCATACCCTAATCATAGCGAAACGTGCCACAGTTGCTGTTCTCCCTTCATTGGGAACAGGGGGATGACATATGTCGGTCCGAATATTGGCCGAAATATTTGCAGCTGACCTGTATCTCGTACTCATGTGTGATTCACAATGAGCCGAAATTTAGATCATTTATCACAGCTGTGTAGTCCTATAAACTAGGGAGCTCTTCATTACATGCAGAAAGCACCGTAAAATCTAACAGTCGCGATCTACAGCAAACACTAAAATGGATGGTATGTAAACTAGAAGATAAGTACATCATCGACTCAGGCCTCGACATCAAACGCCATGAAACTGATCATGGAAAATACATAAGACGGCGAGTCCCTTGTTTACCCGTTGATGTTAATAGTGCCCGGGATATGAGACGATGTGCCCTTGCGAGTATTCACTCCCCTTCGGATGCAGTATGTTACTGGGACGAGGTGGAGAAGGGTCGGCAATCAATGAACGAGGTTCATACGCTTGCTCCCACTCAGCTGCTGGCCACTCGTACCTACGGCAAAGGACGGCATGAGAAGACTAAGTTTTAACCAAACGAAAGACAGACCTGGATTCTGAATGAGTGGTGTATGTGTGATGTGTGGCTTCAGCACGCATTTGGCCATTGCCACTATGCTGGGTATAATTATTATACGAGGTTGCAGGTTCAAACTGCGGACATGGCACGGGGTCGTCACATGGCAATCTTGTATCAGATCTGTGCACAAGGTTCGCAGGTATCATTATTCCAGAGTCGAGACTGGTGATCGAGGCTTTCGGAGCTTCTAGAGAATGATGAATGGCGGGATGGTCGTATTTGTGAGGATGAGAAGATTGCAAGGACGAGGGACGAGTTTGCAGTTGGTTCCAAGGGGTGGACCCACTTTGCATTAGCCCATGGGACGCCCACAAGGGTAGCACTGCAGGAACTGGATGTCTGGTAAGGTGCGGGAAGTCGAACCACTGAGGATTGGTGCTAACGGGCTCGGCCAGTGGAACATATGGGTATCTAGTGACTGGCGGCAGCGCAGGATGATAGGTTGATGAGGGATTAGGGCAATAATCCGGAGGATGGGCATGATGTTCTGGTAGCGGTAACAGTGTGTGCGCGTCGTCTTTGCCCCCATAGCTTTGGAGTGACAGATTACCTTTGTGACCACCGCTTCCAGAGCCGTTGAGGCTGTGTGGCATTGAAGTACTAAGGTCCTTTCTAGACAGCAGGAAACCTCAGTAACGGTTAAACAATAGATTGCGTGACGTACAGATACATCTCGGCATTTCTCCATCGCGGTTTCAGATGTTCAAGCACTTGTATGAAAAAGGAAACATCTTCAAGAAGCTCTGCCATCGCAACCGCAAGTGTCGGCTTCACATCCTCCACTCCACCAGACTGGAGTTGATTGCGCTCTTGCCACTTCAAATCCCAAAAGTTCATGAGAAGAATCGCAGCGCACATGTGTGACCCGCAAATGAGTGTGGGTATATTAGATATACCCCTTTGAATCTGTGCCCGCAGTATCTTCGCACAGGATTTTCCTGCGTTGACACAGATGGCGATACAGGGGACGGGCATGTTTGCGTGCGGGGCAGCATTGGAAAGGGAGCGAAGTGAACCGGGTAAGAAAGGACGGTAAATGAGGATGTGGATAAGGTAATAGGTGGTGTACAGTGTAACCGATTGGTTAGCGAAGAATGGATCTTCCATGTGAGGCGACCATTGCACTGTAATCGAAGCGTGAGATGGATCGACGCCCGTAATCAATAATTACTAATTACTTACAATGAGGGGGCACTGAGTCGACCCATTCATTCATTGCGGCACTAAGGTGATTCAAAACTTCATGCCACCGCGGGCGCGCGGCACTAACCAATAATTTGGACCTGTCAAGGGCATACTATGCCAATGAAAGTTAGTCACTCGTAAAAGACACCTGCGGGGTGGGAAAACGCACAATAGTCCTTAAAGCGTATGCGGAGATTTTAGTCAATTTTAGATAGGAGTTGAACCCTGCTATCTTTGATGGCTTTCCCGGTGGTTGTTGGAATGCCTTCTCAGGATCCTTGGTTTCCCAGTATTCATCATCGACTTCCAGGGGAAGGTCGACATCGAAGCTGGATAAGCATGTGTCAGAAGGGTCACGTAAAAAAATCGTGTGACTTACTCTTCCTCCCCAGAACAACATGGTCGTCCAAGAGCAGCACTTCCTATGCGGTCGTAAAGCACAAGCACCCAAAATGCTCTTTTCCACAGTTCCTCCTCAACACTTGGCTTTGCTCCGTAAATCTTCTTGCGGTGTGCGCCAACATCCTGAGCTTTGCGGAGG